CGAAGTCTTGAGCCCAGAAAACGAGAAATTGCAACACTTTCTGCAGCAGAAAACCAAACTTGTGACATTTCTACAGTGAAACCAAGTGTCCTGTACTATGAGACCTCCTACACTTGAAGATACATTAGTATGGGGTCTTATGGAGGGTGCTAGTTTTCAGATGTTTCACTGCATTATGACATGCTGCAGATGCCACCTGGCACAATTATCGCTAGTGTGTCCAGATGTCGATCACCGACCTTCGAGCCATGATCGGTGGGAAGGGGTAGCGAGTTGGATCACCTTTCCGAGCCAGCAGCTCAACTGCAGCTCCGCCTACTTTCTGCCCCACATCCGGATGAGTGTCCAGACCTAGCCTGGATAGAATGAGACAACGCTAGCTTAGAGGGTGTACTCCAATTAGAGAAGGCTCACCATCGTGCTAGTTTGTCGAAGGCCTCGCCTGGCGAATCGTCTCTGGTCTGCCCCAACCTGCTAAACTGGTCTGACGAGTGAGCTACGGCCAAGATACAGTGGCCTCCAGACACCAACAGAACCAGGTATGGGAACGGAATACTGGGAGAATGGAGTATGGGAATAGGACACATAACGAGCATATTACTAACTCTTGTTCCATTCTGGGCATTAGAGCATGAGCTGCCATATGATGAACTGGCATCACTGGCTTACTATAGGAAAGAAATGTTAATTCAAATTCTCTCTCTCTCTCACTCTCTATTTTCTCTCCACTCACTTATGAGTCTTTGCCAGAGACTTGACAAACTCCAGCCCTGCCTGCAGACACAGCGCCAGGCCCGGTCCCACGGTAACGGCAACGACGTCGACGTCTTCCAAATGGAGCCCACTCTCTCTTAGCGCGGTGTCGGTCACCCTCTGGAGGTTGTGTCTGTGCAGATCAGCCGCCACCATCGGTACAATCCCACCTGTGCTGAAGTAAAACATAGTTGTCTTGCCCATCTACGCACATGCGCAAGTTGTGATGCTACCGCATGCGCTAAGATGAACGACGCGTGCTCTCACGTCTTGTGGACTGGCGTCTGAGAGTGCAAGCAGTGTCCCAGCAGCCGCCCGATCCCTCTCATTACCGCCACTCCCGTGTCGTCGCAGCTCGTTTCAACTCCGAGCACCACCCTCGTTTCTTCCACCCGTGACTCTCTCCCTATCACATCTCCATACCCTCGGGAAGAAGAAGACGGCTTTGCCAGTTCTAGCCTCGAACCACTGGCCGCGGCAGATAAAACGGAGTGGAGTCGTTTCGCTCCACCACCGAACATTTTTCTTCTTCGCGTTGACCCTGCGCTCTAATTAGAACGCACAATAAGGGGCGTAGCTCGATGGTATCGTCTCTGCAAATACAGCTGCTCTAGCGTTATTGTGGAACCATGTCTGGATCAGTGTGGCAGGACAGGGAGATTCGCTTCGACTCTCCGGACAGGTAACTACAAAAACACTGTTCTTTTTGCTAAGCAACTTCATCTCGCTTGCAGCCAACTCCAGCCTAGGGCAGGCGAGGTAAGCCTGAACCGAGATAGTTACACTAGTTTCACGGAGGACCCGCTGCCTAGGTGATAATAAGCCACCTGGAGGAGGTGGAGGACACGAAGGGAAACAGCAGAGACAACGGCTATCTCTACGTGACCAACCTCCGAGTCATCTGGACTTCAGCCACACAGGGAAGAGTAAACCTCAGTGAGCCGCCACATAGCTAGCTAATAGGGGAACAGCTGCAAAACCGTAAGATTTATGTTCCCTAGTTGAATATGGGGGGATATCAGTGGTTGCAACAAGCCTAGAACTTAGTAGTTGAGCCACGGGTGAGAATGTATAGTTTTATGCATAAGTGTGCTTTGCCAATTTCCTGCAGGTATTGGCCTGAAGACCATTAGCAAGATTCAAACAAAGAGAGTGAAATCTGTGAGCATGTTTGCTATTGTGGAGTATTGAGAGTCTGTTATTTTTCTCCGTGCGTATAAAGTATCTTCGAGGATTGTCAGAAGCAATTCATTTGATGACAACGCAGAACAAGACACAGTTTGAATTCATCTTCACAAGTCGGGTGAGCGAGAGAGAGAAGAGAGAGATTGTTTCCCCCATTCATACAATAGACGCTTTTTTTGAAGACACTCCCAAACCAATATGCAAGAAACTTGATAACCACTGCAGGTATCAGACAATACGACAATGTTCTCGTCGGTAATGGCGGTCCACAGGGCCTATCTGTCTTCCTCTCTCTATCGAGAGGTTGCCATGAGAGGTGCGCTCCTCGCCGACAGAGAGCTCCGCCTACTTCCTCAAGAACAGCTCTACAACAAGGTGCCACACCCTGCCCTGCTTCCCTCTCATGCCCCTCTTCTCTCTCTGCATATTGTCCTCTCTTCTGCTCCTCTCCTAACCTCTTGCCCCTACTCTGCTGCTCCCCCTCTACTGCTCTCCCCTCTCCTCTGCCTCCTTCCCCCCTGCCTGCATAGCACCCTGCTCCTCCACTCCGGCTGCTCTCTCCTCTCCTACGGAGCTGTCAAAGGACCAGGTCTGAACATGACACAAGGTGGGTTGGGAGGTACAGAAAAGAAAGAAGGACAAAGCAAGAGAAAAGAAGCAAGCAGAAAATCAACTTACTGATTTGATAACCAGATCACCTCTGCTATATGACTGGCCCTATCTTCCCTATCCTGTCTGGAATGATCACCCCTTTACGCACATCGCACCCCGCCCTCTCATGCCACTGCTGATCCTCCTTTTGCTGCCGCTGCCCTTCCCTTGCTCCCCTCTCCTGACTAACTCCCTGCTCTACCTCTACTCTGCCTCCTCTCCTCCCCTCCCTCTCCCCCTCCCTGCTTCTCTTGCTACTCCCCTGCTTCCGGCCTTGCCCCCTCTCCCCTCCCCTGCCTGCTGCTGCTGCCTCTACCTCTCTCCCCTCTCCTGACCACCCATGCTCCTTTCACTGATGCTGCCTCACTGATCCTCCCCCTCTCCCCTCCCATCTGCTGCCTGCTCAATCTGCCATTGTCCTCTTTGCCCATTTGACTTCTTCATCCTCCCTCCTCCACTTGACCCTTGCCATACTCATCTGTCCACTGCTGATTACCTTGCCCCTCTGCTGCCTGCGCCTCTCTCCTTCTCTCCTGCCCCCATCTAACTTCATCCTCTCCCCCCCCCCCTTCTCTCCTCCCTATTCCCTGCCTGATCCCCTGCTCTCCTCCCCCCCCCCCTCCCCCTGCCTCTGCTTGACCCTGAGCTCCCCTCTGATTAATCGATACGAGGGATAATTTTTTTTTACCGGCGCGATGATGCAATTTTAATTATTTTTCAGATTGGGGGTGTGTGGAACCTTAGCAGCGACAAGGTATTAGCCACACGCATGAAACTGACTATTTCACATCTGTAGAATGTATGCTGTACAGCTACAAATTCGCCACACAAATGCACAAATTTTCATGGACGATCAGTAGCTTTTTTAAGTTTTGCAAAAAGCGCACAATTTCCGTCTGTTTTTCTGCTGTTATTTCAGGGGAACCTTGGGACGCTGTACATTACGAATGTGAGAGTTGCGTGGCAGTGTAAACTGAATGATAACTTCAACGTCAGCATTCCTTACCTGCAAATGGTGAGCTGTTCTCCAAACCTCAACCTCCCTCTCCTTCTTCTTCTCTAGTTTCCTGTCCCCGTTCCTATCTCACCCTATTTCGCTGTCCTTATTCCTATCTAGCCTGCGTTTGACTCTCCCTATATATAGTCATAGGAACTAGGCTAAACTAATAATTGGTACATGTAATAATGTACATAAGCACTCTCTGTCTTTGTCAACCCAGAAAGTGGTGAAGGTTCGAGACACTAAATTCGGTGTTGCCATGGTGCTAGAGGCAGGAAACCTGGTCCTGGGGTTCAAAGTTGATCCGTATGAGACACTGAAGAAGATTGTGAAGGAAATTCAGAGCCTACACCAGGTCTACAGCTCTTCCCCCATCTTTGGGGTGGAGTACTCCACTGCTGATGAGTGGGAGGGGCCTACTCCGCCCACCACCGATACCATACAAGAGGACGTGGAACTCGTTGGCACCAAAGAAGACATCTCTAGCTGTGAGTCTATTTTTAGCAACATATTTGTTCTATTTATAGCAGTAATTATTGTGTAATGTCTATTCCATGTTTCACCTGAAAAAATTCCCCTGAGGATTAAGTGTTCGTTAACTCTCGACCCACTTCCCTCCAGCATGGTTACCAATGTCTATAAATAACCACACTGATGATGTAATTGTGACATCACACAGGCATATTTGGCTGATCCGCACAAGAGGAAGGACAGGGAGCCAGTCTACAGCCATGAACTGGGACTAGCCATCGAGGCACTTCCTGATGGGTACTCCATTTCAGACCTCTGGCAAATTTCATGACTTACTATACCGTTTACCGCTGCTGCTATTGTAATTCTTCACAATTCTCGCAAATGGAAAACGTTCATAATCTTTCTTCTCCGCGTTGAATCTGCAAACATTCACAGGTAAAAAGAGTTCCACACACCTCGAAATATTGCCTTCCTTGAAAAGTATGTTCATACGTACTGTATACATACATTCCCTATGAGAGACTATCACACCCATTGAGAATGCAGAGCACGCAGAGTGAGAGTTACTGATAACTAGCTTCAGATGAGAGGGGTTTCTTGTGTCTTAGTGAATGGAGGGAGGGAGAGAGGGTGTGGGGAGGAGGAAGAGGAGGAAGGGAAAGGTTGAGCTTGAGGCTAGTCACCTCCAGCCTGGGAGACAGAGTTCTCCTGGCAGAGGAGAGGGAGAGAGGGGAAGAGGAAGGAAGACCTCTTCTCAGTGCCGAACTGGGCGGCCATTTCTTCCGTGTGTTTCTCGAGCCGTGTGTACGATGTGTGGGGTGAGGGTGGGAACTGGGTGGGAAAGGGAAGTGGAGAGGTGGGAGGAGCTGTTGATCATGTGATCTGTCACGTGACTGCAGTTGGTCCTGAATGGTTCTGTGTCTGTGGCGTATACCGTTCCTATAGCAAGTCCAGATGAGGCAACCCTGGCAATTAAAACAAATCTCGATGGAACAAATGTTATAAATTTTTGCTCACTGTTCAATGTGAGGTAATTTTATTGAGTATCCAGAGAGTGTAAGACTGTCTTTTGCCCTCTCCGCCTCTTTTTCTTCGTTTCAGTGGAGCTTTATGTTTGTTATTGGGAGGTACAAAGACTGTAGTGGCATCAACTGGACACACTGCATGTCCTGATCTCAACCATCCATCGATACAGAGTCGGTGGAACTGTGGTCGGAATACAGGCAGCGAGATGAAGAATAGGGAGAGAAAGATAAGGCGAGACCGGAATAAGGCTAGCAAGATAGGACTACTAGGGACAGCATTATAAGTAACCCACAAATAAATAATATATTGAGAGAGGCAGGCTTACCTCATGTCTGCAGGCCGGGAGCTTCCTGACCCAGTCCCCTCTCTTGAATTCCTCCCCACACATCTCGCACACACTTCCCTTCCCTCCTCCTCCTCCTCCAGTTCCCACTGGGTATGCCTTCAGTCGCGATATTAACACTTCACCTCTCTCTCTAACCCTTCTTCTGCCACCATTTGGTTTGTCAACTCGTGCCTGTCCGATCTCCGTAACTGAAGTTGGTTTGTACACGCACAAATCATCTCCACACAGCTCCTAACAAACAGAGACACAAAACCAAACTCATTCCACAAGACAACAAAATCGCTCTAGACCCCCATTACCAGAGTCTTTTTTTACTAACAACAGTGAATAAGTCTTAAATGACTGTTGTGTAATATGTCTTATGTTCACACTCTATCATTACACATAGTTACAAGAAGTCTACTGACATACTATTTTTCCAGCAATCATCAAAGTGTATACACCATCACATGTACTCAACAAACCTTGAGGGGAAGAAAATCACACCTACAAACCGGACAATGTACGGTGGGGTCCCCAGGCGTCTGCTGGTGGTCTGCCCAAATCTTCATACACCTCACATGTATGTTCTGCCCACAACCCAACTTGCAGTAGGCAATGGCAAGTGGCCGCGCTGAAAACTCTTCCTGGCATATCGGACAGATGTCCTCGCTCGTGATTGCTCGTCGAACGACGTGATTTGATTGGTCGGTTGACCCCGGCTGTTGCACGGGGAGTTGTTTCTGGGCGTGGTTTCCGTAGAGAATCCCGTTGATTTCACGCTCGACGAGTCCCAGTTGGAAAGAAAGAGAGCTCTCACGAGGAACCTTGAATTTCTTCAGCAGTAACCTGCACAGAGTCACACACAGATTGACTGGGAGTTGGCTACACATGGCGTGAAACTATTGAAGGAACGTTCACACAGATTACTGTTCCTTTTCACCAACTGAGAATCCACTGTTCTCAGCATAGCTATGTTACAATGATATTATGATGTCACCTACCAGAGTATATGAACGCAGAGCTCTCCCTCTTTCCTGAACGCGCTGCACGAACACTGATGAGGGTTTCCGAGACACGTCTATGGCAGCATGCAACGCCTTGGAAAGTCGAGTGGCTAAAATTTTGAACTACTCACTTTGAATTTTCTCTCCCCCGTTTCTTCCTTGAGGACGAAGCTGGTGGGTCCAGCCTGGTGGACTATGTAAAGAGTCCTGCAGAGGGCCTCTTCAGAACGCGCCAGCACCGCTTCCGGGCTTTTACGCCTCCACTGCTGGCGACGAGCCATGGAGGAAAATTGCCACGTGGATCTCTGTTTACTCATCACCATGCCAACATTTAGTCCACGCCTACATGCAATTCAGGAAAAAACCTACGCATGCGCACAAATTATCCCACGCACACTGTACTCTTGGCACGCCCATTTTCGGTACAATTCTGCAAAGCCTACCCACACAAAGCCGGAGAGACATGTCAGCCGGTCTAGAAACGCTGGTGAACGGCAGTACAGACGACGAAGATTACATCAGTCAGTTGACTAAAGACGGACCGGTGGAGCTGCGGGCCTACGGCCACCAGGTCGGCGGCCACTCTCTGCTAATGAAGTTCGGGAAGGCAATATGCAAGCCGATGCTCCCTCGCGAGCATTTATTCTACTCCACGTTGCCCGGAGAGTTGAAGAAATTCACGCCAGTTTATTACGGTAAGCCGCTGGAGTCACATCTATGGTAGCTATTGTAGTAGCATTTCAGAGGCTCTTTATATAAAAATTCGTGGCAAAGTGCATTCCAGCTATTACTGTGCAATATTGTACCACTGTATATATTGCAGGTGTTGTAAGCATCAGATTCAAATTGACTGAAGATGGTAGGGTCCACCTCGTCGCCACCGGGAATGGAATCGAGACCGGACACGGGTCCGGGGTGGGGAACGGGGAAATGGAAACGTGTGTGTCTGGGGACAGGACCGAGGGTGACACGCAGTCGCTCACTCACCCAATCGTGAGACTCGATTTCATAAAGGCGACAGCCGGTTTCAACGGACTGAAACATGAGGAAATCGTGAAAGCTTCAAGTGAGTTGAAGAAAAACGTTCAAAAATCTTGCAGGGGTGACCTTGAGGTCGAGAGATTTATTAGCCTAAAGCCAACGGAATTATCTTGCTATCATTGTGTATACTAAGTGATTTGTTTCTTGTGTGGTCTCTGTGTTCTACATGTCTGAGTGTTAGGCTTTATTGACTCAATACCTCAGAATTGTCACCATGTCCTTTTGAGAGCTTCAACCTACTGTTACACTTCCTTCCTCTCTTCCCCCTCTCCTCCTCTCCTCCCTCTCCCCCCTCTCCCCCTCTCCTCTCTCTCTCTCATTGGTCAGACGGCTACTTCTCAAATCCCTGGAGTACGGCTTGCATGACTAACATGCAGTCGATTCTCGCACACTTTGGTGCCACACAACTCCAGGACCTCTTCCAAGGCAAGTCCCACCACTCTCAGTCACACACCTTAGTCCCACACAAATTCAATATTGTCACCATGTGTGTGTGCCTTATAAGCAAGTGTGCACAGAATGAGATAGCCAGATTAACCACATGAATTTCAGTGCATTGTTCGGAGCAAATGTGTATTATTTTAAAAAATCTGGCCTGCTAGATTATTCAAGGTTGCCAGTTATCCCTGAAAGTGGTTTTTCGCAGGCAACAACCAACAAGACTCAAAAACAAGAGGAACGTTATTGCAGTAGCTTTTTAATATTCTTTTCCCGAGCATTGCATAAACCCGTAACCATATTTTGTAAACTAGGTATTGAATGCAGGTTTTCGAAAGCATAATAGCATTCAACTGGAGCCAATAGTATATGTATATACTGCTGATATTATGTTAGAGAGTTTACATAGTGGCTAAAGTCAATTCACTAAACGTTTACTAACTAGTGAACTCTGGACCAAGCACTTCCTCTTTAAAATTCATAATCCTGCAAACAGATTACCTCGTCCTGGAAGACCTGACGTGTAGCTTTGATCGACCGTGTATCATGGACCTAAAGATGGGGACTCGTCGTCATGGAGACGACCAATCGGAGGAGAAGCAACGACGACACATGGAGAGATGTGCGTCGACCACCTCCGCACGGCTCGGAGTCAGCATGGCGGGTGTCCAGGTATGGGGGAGACATGACGTGTTTCAATTGCACACTATAGTCAAAGAGCAGAGAGAAAGAAATGCATGGAGAGCTCCGCATCTTTTTCTCTTGGCATCACATGGTATAATTTCTTCATGGACTTATGCTCAGAGACAGAAAACACTACATATTATACGTGTCATGGGAGCATGGGACATGGGAGTATGAACGTATGGAACATTGAAGTATGAAAGTATGGGACATGGCAGTATGAAAAGTCTCTCTCCCTCTCGTACAGGTCTACAATTCCTCTCTAGGAGTCTACACCTTCAAGGACAAGTACTACTGCCGAGAGCTAACCCCGCAAGGTTTCCACGACGAACTGCGACACTTTGTCCACAGCGGGTTCTCCCTACGCTCAGACGTAATCTCGGCACTCCTTTGCAAGCTCCGGCAGCTGAGAGATATGATTCAACGACAGGACTCTTTTCGATTCTTCTCGTCTTCTCTGTTGATTGTGTACGACGGGAAACTGGAGCAAACTGGTGCCGCTACTGCTAGTGATTCTGGGCCGACTCTTAGGGAAAGGACCAGGGTTTTGGAGGGGAGAGAAAGTTTTTCGAAATTATCATCCGGGAGTGAAGTCGGAGGAGGTGAGGGTGGGGAGGAGAGGGAGGGCGGTGCAAACGGACCGTCATTTAGCGAGGAACTCCCAGTTGAAGATTTAGACCACCAACGTTCCAAAGGAGAGTCTGACAGTTTCTCTGTGGAAGAAGCAGGGACATTAGTCAAGGTTAGGATGATTGATTTCGCACACGCGACCCACGCGAGGTGCAAACACGACCCAGTCAAATACTCTGGACCAGATGAAGGCTATATTACAGGGCTGAATACTCTCATTTCGGCCTTTCACTCCATGCAAGAAGAAAGCTAGCCACATTTCTTGGGACTATAATTATAGATATTACAGGAGTTATATTTTTCCTTGATATACATGTCTAAATGGAAATCACAAATGATGATAAATTTTTTATAACACTAAGTTTTGCAACAACACACAGCAGATAATTATAAAAACACGCGAAAAAGTGACGTAATGGAGAGAAGAGAGCAATGATGTAAGCTACAAAAATCCCAACACTGCACTGGGTGTCAGATTTTCATGTGTTTCGATATTTTCGCACAGTTTGACCGCCTCCCATATCCTCCTCGACTGCTGCCTCACTTCAGTGCGAGCCTTCGACCAGATGTCCTTCTTCTTCTTGTCGGTCGTCGAATTGTCTTTCCCGGTTAGCATTTCGACAAACATAATTCCGCAGGTGTAAAGGTCGCCCCTCGGTTTTCCCCTCACGGCCGCGGGAGGAAGATAGCGAGCGCTGTTTGAGTGAGAATCAATTCCGAGTGCACAGAGGTTGTAGTCGCACAGACGGACGCTCCACGCTGTCGCGCGGGATTTCTTGTTTTTACTGATGAGTACATTTGACGTGCTCAGACCCCTGTGGGAGATTCCAGCAGTGGTGTGAAGGTAATTTAACCCTTTCAGGACACATTTCATGACGTGCGAAGTTTGATCGTCGGTCATTGACCCGAATCCTTTGACGATGGTCTTCTGCTTGTTGGTCTTGGCGTCTTTAACCCTCTTCCCCTTCAGGTGTTGCCGCACGCTCAGCTCCATGAGCGGGAGCTGGATCGATTCCATCAGGAGCACACCGTCACATGATATCACGTGATCGTGTGATATTTTCCTAGCAACGGCCATGTAGTCTGCAAACTGCTCCCTCGTTGGCTTCTCGGTGTCTATTCTGACTGGTTTCCATAGCGCCACCTGGCGATCGTCGTCGTACTTGGCAACCACAACTGTGCTGGTGGATTTGTTGGAGGATAAGATTTGGTCTCCTTCTGTCGGCAGATTCTCGGGATCCAGCTCCCATTCTGGCCGCTGGGAGGGAAGGTGAAATAGGTGGCAGAGGGGAGAGAATCAAAATCGTATACGGGGAAATCAAAACAGAAAGACGGTCATAATCTATAGAAAATTTCGTACACAGATTGTAAAGCATTATCACATGGTGGAGTGGGAAAAACTAAGTAAGAAAAATTGTATACACAAAGCTCACTAGAAATGGAGTCCTACTCACAAACTGTCGAAAATGGCTCTAAAACATTGGTATCGTGATCAGAGTAAGTAAAAGATGAGAGAGAGAGAGGAAGAAGAAGTGAGGGTGAGAAATGGGAACACCTTTTCCACATCTTCCACAGGAGGTGGAGGCTCAACAGCTGAACATTTGGCCACCAGAGCAGTTGGGTCTATAACGGTGACATCATTCCTTCGGAGAGCTTTCATGATGACTATGAAATCTGGCCGTTTCTATGGAAACAACACAACGACATGTCAAAATGAGGAGTGGAACAATTCATCGTGTCCCTTTGGTGTTTGGATTATAAGGGTTCCACTCCAGCTAATGGGAAAACTAAGTAAAAAACTGTCTTGTAAGGGAGACCTTAAAATCTTCGTCCCAGCATTTGTCGATGAGGACTTCGTATAGTTTGGGGCAATCTGAACTGGGAGGCATTGTCGGTCTCTGGAGATGGGAGAGAGAAGGGAGGGAGAGAAACAGTGTACCAACATCAGTTAGAGAGGGCAAGAATTGAACAAGAGAAGAGGAAAACAGAAGGAGAAAACATTGAAATTTAGGTTTCAGGTGAAGTAGGCTTCCTGATTCAGTATACAGTATACACATGTGTACTTGAACCACACTTGAAGAAATCCTACCTTTTTGTTCATGACGGTTAGTCTCATTATTTGGGGGTCCGTCATCCTCTTCCCCTCCCAAGGCAGCTGCCGTGAGAATATGTGCCAGACCACCATCCCATACGAGTAGACGTCCGACTCTGTGCGCGACGTGTCCTCACCCATTATTAGCTAAAACAGAAGATTTTAACCCTCTTTCGCCTCATTAATTATTCATGAGTTGATATACCTCTGGTCCTTGCCACAGTCCAGGGTTGGTGGGAGCTACTGTTTGCCCTCCAAACGTCTCATGGGGGGCCATTATCTTTGCATGTTGAAACCCATGCAGCTGTGATTACATCATAATGACATAATAATGATGTAACCACTTTTGGACTCTGCAGCTGTATCACCTTTGTTACGACTTTGCCGCCAGGACCGGACTTGAGCAAAACTGTAATTTTCCCCAGATTTTGTCAAAAGTGGGAGGAGTTACAGACAAGAGACCACACCTACTTACCGCTGAGTGGGTGGAGATTTCGGTGAATGATGGGATGAAATGGGGCACCGTAATGAAGGTACCTCATACCATTGGCGATTTGCATGGCGAGGTCAGGCCCATCAATCTCTTTCTTTGTGTTGAGGACATAGTCTCTCAGGTAACCCATATCACAGTACTCTAAATAGAGAGAGAAATTTAACTCCTTGTTGGCCAGTAGATTAAAACCCTTTCTTTACCAAGCACAATGCGGTACTCTGCGGTAGGGGCGTAGATGACGGCACCGTAAAAACGGGTGACGTTGAACTTTGTCGCACTTGCGTCAGTTCCAGCTACAATAGAGAGAATACGAGCCTACCGAGAGAGAGAGAGAGAGAGATGGGGGAGAGAGACGATTTGTCAGTAAATGCAAAAAGACCATGAATAGCAGTGTTTCAAAGTGCCTCATACACTGTGTATTTACCGGTGTATTTAGTCTCCACTGCACACAAAGGACACATACCACAAACCACAGTGAAAGCAGTTTAGTTTTGCTCAAAACCTCAAACGTAAACTCATGGGCACCCAAACACCATGCTGGCACACACACACACACAGAGAGACCCAAAACTAAAGTTTAAACAAAACACACACTTTGCTGGAGAAGTTCAGTCGTTACTCTAACTTACTCTAACGTACAATGATGGCGTACTTCTTGGGACTACTGGTATCATCCTTTGTGGTTTGCACCCTACAGCAGTACACTATATTTCCCCCTTGCGTGGAGTTAAAATCACACACCTGACATACTATATTATATCCTGTCCTATGGGCATATATACCCCACTTTTTAAAACCCCTCTCTAAAAATACCCATCCAATAAGGACACCTTTTTCTTTCACCCAATAACGGTTCTTGTGCAATTTAACCCCCGAAAATAAGAACACTCACTAATATGGACACTTATTCTGTTCAATTTGCATCGAGATTAGAGGGGTTCCGCTGTAATTACATACCTCCCTCTCGCTCAGGAACCCGACCGGTTTGACCAGTACAGTCTGAGGAGCCCCCAGTGACTCTCCGGTTGTCTTCCTCCTGGTCCAAGTCCCAGTGTACATCTCCGCCACTGCCGGGTTGACTGTCGCCTTCTTCTTGGCAGCTTCCGGCAGGTACCTGCAACAAGTGGAGTTGGGCGTGGCCCAGGATTTACAAGGTGACAGAGAAATATGAAAATGATGTATTTTACGCGGAACCCCTCTCTAATACACCCGTGGAACGAGGACCTCAAGGACACTTTCTCCCCAAGAACAGTTCTTCCACGCACTGAAATGAGGACACCTCACTAATTTGCACGCTTTCTATTGGTGTCCAGATTAGAGGGGTTCCACTGTGGAATTTTGTGCAGGGCTCTGCAACTACTAATCAACTAGAGCGTGCAAGAGTTGCTAGATTCCACCGCTGCCCCGCAGTCTGCAGTGTAGACAAAGGTCTAGGCTGTACGGTACGGGTGAGCGGGTTTCTTACTCATCCGTGGGCAGGAACGGTGCTCCGAGCTTCACGTCTCTCTTAGGGAGACGGAAATAGCCGACCCACTCCGGTTTCTGCGGATCATCTTCGTCTTGGTCCGAGTGAGAGTCCTCGTCTTCCTCGCACCCGCCGTTCTCCAGCTGATCCGTCGCTTCCGCCATCTTCTCTCTTTCTGTGTCTCTCCAAAATTAAAAAGAGAGTGCAGAGCCAAAACGCCCGAATGCACCAAACTGCGCATGAACGGTTGTGGGGGTAAGTGTAGCTGACCTACAAAATGGCGAAAGAGCAGTTCGAGGAGCGTTTGGACTTTTTCCGGTTGGCGCGTCTCCCCGACCACCTGTACTGGATCAACAAACAGCCCAAGTTCCAGCTGGTCTCCGAACTCGAAGCAGCAGCAGGCGTTTGGCGCGCGGGGTTGCACGTGACAACAACCGAAAAGAGTGATTTCTGGCAGAAGACGTTCTACGCGCCACTACTGGTAAAGACGGACGCTCCCGCCCTCCTAATGAAGGTTCCTAACGGACTAAAAGAATGGACGGCGGAGCTCCATTTCAGTTTGGAAAACGCCACGCATCAGTTCGACCAGGCAGGGCTCATGGTTTACGCGACCGAGGAACGGTGGATGAAGGCCGGCATCGAAATGGTCGACGGTTCACCGCGCATGTCTTGCGTCGTGACGAACGGGTCCAGCGACTGGTCCGTACGTCCCTGGCGCAGCGCCACCGACGTCGCAGTTCGCGTGTCTCACGTGCGCGAGAGTCTAGCTGTCGAGTGCAGGGGTACAAAAGATGAGGAAGAGACGTGGAGCTTTTACCGAATTGCTCCCAGCATGGTGGCTGATTTTGAGGGAGATGTTGGGGTGGGCCTAGTGTGTTGTTCACCTGCAGACCCAGGGATGACGGCCATTTTTCACTCTCTCTCCACCTCCAATCACGTCACATTCGACCATCACTCGTCATGACTTTTCACACATGATTCAAAAATGAAGTTTTCCTACAACAAACGCTACATTATCGTATCACTGAATAAATTAGACGAAGTTTTAATGAACATTTGTCAGTTTGGACCACTGTTTGCTGATATGTACCTAGCATGGGGTATAGAGCTATGCACACATCTCATGCCTTGACTGCATCAAATCGAGCCTCCAGATTTGCAAAGTTGGCTTGAACAGTTGCAAGGTTCTCCTTGAATGAAGCCTCCATCTACACAGTGGGCACAAAGAGAAGGAAAGATAGAGTGACAATAAGAGAGGGATATTACAGGGATGAAGAAACAATTTAGGGGTGGCTCATAGAGATTTTATATACCAGTGATGAATGCTTGGCATAATCCTGTTCATGCTCCCCCGGAAAAAAAAATTGTGAGGAACAAGGCAGAGAGACCGACCTCTGTTAGCAGGGATTGTAGGTGTTCAGTCTGTTTGGTCAGTTGGTCCTGACTGTCTGCCATTACAGCCACGGAGCTTGCAAACTGAGCCGCTCTCTCATGCAAATCCCTCAGAGCATGCAGTCTCGATATCTGCAGGGAATGATGCAGAGAATCTTAGCAAATTTCCTCCCACAAAAGTATGCATGCAGCTATGCAGCAACTTAGAGAAAATGCAAAAGACTAAGTTGCCAACGCACCAAATCAGGGATGAGGGGAGCAATGGATTTCATTCTGCTCACAGCCTCCAGAGCCTCAGAGACCTTGGTCTGCCTGTCTGCATCTTTCTCTCCTTCTTCAGACTTTTTATCCACGCTACCCAACAGTGTCAGCACCTCCTAACACACAGAGGCAGTACATGTCATAAAGAATTGGACTTTCCTTTATGGGGAGGTGTCCTATATCTGGAGGGTTGTTTCTCACAGGTTGTACCACATTTCATACAAAATTTGGGGAATAAAAAAAACGTAAACACCTGTAGTTGCTCGGCAATGGCACTGATGTGTCCAGAATCCAGGAGTGCTACCTTGGCCTGGAGATTCAGAACTGCTGTCTGTGGGTCACGTGACAAGAGTGTGGGTATCACATGACAGTCATGTGACTAGAGCAACTCACAGAGAGATCGTTTTGGTCGGCATCCAGCCCACCAACTGTACTGCACTGCATAAACAGAAACAAGTAGAGAGAGGGACGGACTCAGGAGAGGGAGGAGAGAGGAGAGAGAGGGACGGACTCAGGAGAGAGGGGAGAGAGGAGAGAGGGAAGGCAGGAGAGGGAGGAGAGAGGAGAGAGAACATTCGTAGTGGGCACGTTTCTTTTGTCTACTTACCACTTTCATATCTGCGTTTCCTACCACTCCTTCCAGCTGAGCCAGTCTCTCTTCAACCTCACTCAACTGACAGAGACAACAAAAAAACAGAGAAAAATCAAATTGCCTCTGAATGTTGGCAAAGAGTTCCACTCACCTTCGAGAGATGGGAAAATTTCGCCGTCTCCGTTTTAGCATAGAGTTCGTAGATTGGTTGGTTACCGTGACTACCTGAAGCCACGCCCCTATCCCCACAGCCGATAGCCTCGACTTGACTTTTAAGATCTCTGAGGTGATTAAATCAATGAAGGAACCTCTCTAAGTTCGAAAAAAGACCCTCTGACACCTCTCTAAGTTCTGCCCCATACTAATACATCAGTGTCCCCGCCGATAAGGGACACCTCTGAGTAAAGGACATTTTCAAAGTCCCCAAGGTGCCCCTTTATTCAGAGGTTTCACACTATATTACAGTATACACCTCAGGAGTAGGGAATGATAAGGAGAATGTGGAGTAGTGAGGTGTTGAGCTCCTAGAACTTTGTCCATCTGTACTTCGTGGAGTTGCTTCTGGAGCAACTGCACCTGTATATACGTAAGAATGGTGGATAGATAGTTAGAGAGCAGGGGCCAGTTTTTCGTGAAGAGAAAGAAAGAGAGACACAACGAAAGAAACGATGGAAATGAGTTTGTTTGTGTGCAAGATGAGAGTAGGAGGGGAGCTGAAATAAGAGAGAGAGCTGTGTGCAAGATGAGAGTAGGAGGGGAGCTGAAATAAGAGAGAGCTGTGTGCAAGATGAGAGTAGGAGGGGAGCTGAAATAAGAGAGAGAGCTGTGTGCAAGATGAGAGTAGGAGGGGAGCTGAAATAAGAGAGAGCTGTGTGCAAGATGAGAGTAGGAGGGGAGCTGAAATAAGAGAGAGCTGTGTGCAAGATGAGAGTAGGAGGGGAGCTGAAATAAGAGAGAGCTGTGTGCAAGATGAGAGTAGGAGGGGAGCTGAAATAAGAGAGAGCTGTGTGCAAGATGAGAGTAGGAGGGGAGCTGAAATAAGAGAGAGCTGTGTGCAAGATGAGAGTAGGAGGGGAGCTGGTGTGCAAGATGAGAGTAGGATGACAAAAAAAGAGCGATATTTGCAATAAACACACATCCTGAGCCAGATCAACGGGAGACACGTCGAGCATCTTGTCTGAGCTCTGTTGAGCCTCCGAGACCTCCTGCACGTCCGTTGCCAACTCCACCACTTCAGTCTTCAGTCTCTGGTACCGCTGTCATGTCACCAGTCATTTCAGATCACGTGATAGTCACATGACCCACCTGCATCAGAGTCTCTGGTTCCCTGGCAACAGGCTGGATTCCATACTCGCTGGGCTCGGCCTGGTACCCGCACTGTCTTGGACGACCGAGAGCATCAGAAAAATCTTCACAAAAAAACAGAACTCTTCGCTAAGGACACCCTTGAAATGAGGACACTCTATAATAAGGATATTCCTATGCAATTTAACCCCAGAGAAACAATGAACCTCACAGATAATGCACACTTTCTCTCGGTGTCAAGATTTGACTCAAGATTAGCTTTTGAGATTTACCTGCACTTTTCGGGTCCAGAGACGTGTTTTTAAATCTCTTGAAAGAGCTCTTGATGTTTGCGTCGAGAGAGTGAACTACTTCACTATGTCTGTCATCCTGTGCGACGAAAAAAGATTTCCTTACTTTATTTCATTTACTCTGTTGATGTGGTAAAACGTATAAAGGTTAAAGGCGAGAGTTTACCTCGTAGGTGAACGCGTTGGGGGTCGGGTCTGGCGTCTCGAATATTTCCAGGTCTCTAGTCTGCAAGATGATAGAGGAAGTGGGCACTAAATGGAAATATGCTTCTCCCCGTCGAAGATGCTAGGGACTTACGGGTCTTGCTCCAGACATATTTGTCTCTTACTTTCACTCACACACAAAACAGAGTCGTCCAGGGACCGAAAAACCGAAACCTATATCTGTCAGGCCGGGCCTTCGCTGGTACCGGTAAGCGCAGTAGGCATAACAGCGGAGGGCGCTAATCGAAGGTGCGCATTAGTTAGAGTTCAGTCTACAAAGCAGCTGTCCGCGGAGCGTGTCGGTTTGTCTTCTCCCGGGGGAAAACGACAACGACGTCTCGCTCTCGTGTGACTGTGGAGCAATATATCGCCTTGCTCCCTCCTCCAGTGTGACGGAGATGCTCTCCGTGCGGACTCCGTTGCGCCACAACCGCGTATAGAAGTCGTTTCTACCTGGGAACTGCACGCGGAGCTCCAGCTGAGCTCCTACTGTAGAGACGGAGCTGTGGGACCATGGCGGACGAGGCTATTCGTGTGAAGGTGGTGTGTCGCGTCCGCCCGCTGAACGAGAAAGAGAGAGCCAGCGGGGACGCTTCAATAGTCAACTTTCCTTCACCTTCTTGTGTCGCTCTTGGGGTGAGGAGCCAAACTCTATAAATTCTGGCATTCTTTTGTTAGACTCTTAGAGGTTTTTCTTGGATTACTACTGTTTTGTATTGCATATTATTATGTTGCAAGTGCCCCAGTGTTGTCTGTTGTAGTTGAGCTTCTGCACTGGAGCTTATACTAACAAGCTGCATCATTTGTGGGATATCTCACAGATTCCACCAATTTTCGTTCCGTTTGTCGTATGTAATTTGATTACGTGGACAGCTCAGCAAAAGAATCCGAAAAATGCTATATCCTTCGGTCCCTTGTGTCTATCCTCCCTCTCTTTCTCCCTCTCTCCCTCCCTTTCTTTCTCCCTCTCTCCCTCCATTTCTCCCTCTCCTTTCTTTAGCAACGCATGTACACCTACGACCATGTGTTCCAACCAGTCTCCACACAAGTTGAAGTCTACACCACCTCAGCCAGACCTCTCGTCAAAGGTAACCTGACAATCACGTGACCCACTGCAATATCACATGACTTGTCACATGACCTGTCCACCCACAGATGTACTGAGCGGGTACAATGCAACCATATTTGCCTATGGACAGACAGCTAGCGGGAAAACGCACACAATGGAGGTATATGCAGACCATAGTTTGTACCGCACTGTTTGTAGTGTGTAGGCTGTTCAAAGATCTACTGCTGGAGTGATTCAGTTGATTGATGTGACAACCACCCACACGCACATGGCATGTGTTAGACCATACAACAATCATACTTCTTTCTCTTGTCAAATTCTGAAGACATGCAACATACAGATTCGGATGTTGATGGGTAAACGAAAGGAAAAATTAGATGAAATCACTGTCTATTGCGTAATGCAGTGAGAGCCAAAAGAATAATCCTAGGGCAGAGGCAACTTTTCAATAGACCAATCATACATAATTATGTACAACTGTGGCCTCTACTATTCTCTGCTCTTAGAGCTTTTGTTAGTGATATAAGCCCATGTATTATGCTAAGAGTGTGTCTGTGTGTATATACTGGTGAGTGGGACAGGGTGTGTATATACTGGTGAGTGGGACAGGGTGTGTATATACTGGTGAGTGGGACAGGGTGTGTATATACTGGTGAGTGGGACAGGGTGTGTATATACTGGTGAGTGGGACAGGGTGTGTATATACTGGTGAGTGGGACAGGGTGTGTATATACTGGTGAGTGGGACAGGGTGTGTATATACTAGTGAGTGGGACAGGGTGTGTATATACTGGTGAGTGGGGCAGGGTGTGTATATACTGGTGAGTGGGACAGGGTGTGTATATACTGGTGAGTGGGACAGGGTGTGTATATACTGGTGAGTGGGACAGGGTGTGTTAGGGACGTCAATAATGACTTGCTCTGTTAGGAACAGGGATGGTGAATTGCACTGTTTGTGGCTCCATTTGTGTGAGAGATGGCCACGTAGCCGAGCCAAGCTGCCAAATTGTCCAACCCCTCCCTTTCTCTCCCCTCTCTCTCCTCGCTTCCTGATTGCTCCTCCCTCTCCCCTGCCTCCTCTCTTCCTCTTCATCTCCCCTCCCCTCCTCCCTCCCTCTCCTTTCTCCCTCTCCCCTCCTCTCTCCCTCTCTCCTCCTCTCTCCCTCGCTCCTCCTCCGTCTCCATTCAAAGGGAGTTCTAGAAAGCTCTGAATTTCGTGGAATAATTCCCAGAATTGTTGGAGACATTTTCGAGCACATCTACGCAATGGATGCCAATCTGGAGATACACATAAAGGTTTGGAACCAGTACGACGGTATGGAAACATGGCTGTATGGGTGTATGACCGCCTCAGATATCCTATTTCGAGATCTACATGGAAAAGATACGAGATCTACTAGACAGTGAGGTTTCAGTCACTCGATATTTTCAGTTTGATTCTGTCATTTTTTTCTAGTGACCAAAAGCAATCTGCCTATTGGAGAGAGCAAGACTAAGGTTCCGTATGTGAAGGTGAGACAGTTTTTTTTGTAATCGCGATACCAATGGGACAGAAGAAAGTGTCCATATTAGTGAGGTGTCCTTATTCCAGGGGTTAAATTGCATGCGAGAAACTGTTCTTGGGGGAAAGAAAAGGTGTCCTCGTTAGAGAGGTGTCCTCATGTCAGGGGTGTCCTTCCACCCTATTTCCCCCTCCTCTCTTGTTATCATTCTCAGGGGATAACTGAGCGATTTGCCACCAGTCCAGAGGAGGTACTGGCTGTCGTCGAAGAGGGAAAATCAAACAGAAAAGTCGCCGTCACGAGTAAGAGCTTTTCAATTGCAGTGTTTCCACAAAAGTGCCCTCTCTCTCTCTCTCTCTCTCAGATATGAATGCACACAGCTCGCGGAGCCACGCTGTTTTCCTGATAGCCATCAAACAAGAGAACAAGGAGACGAGACAGACGCTCACAGGGAAACTCTATCTAGTCGACCTGGCCGGCTCCGAGAAGGTTGAAAAGACTAACGCACAGGGGCTTACCCTCGAGGAGGCCAAGACCATCAACAAAAGTCTTCTGGCACTCAGCAACGTAATCGCTGCCCTCTCTGAAGGAAATGTGAGCAGTTAGTACCTCACTGTTTTAACTTTCATTCTGTCGATAAAACTTGCATTTTGAAAGCATCAAGTGTTGGTCTTATACCCTCTCGTTTGGCTCTGATTCCAATATACTCTCATTCTCCCGTTCCAGAAACCGTTCATTCCGTACCGAGACTCGAAGTTGACACGAGTGTTGCAGGAGAGTCTGGGGGGCAACGCGAGGACGACTCTCATCATCTGCTGTTCTCCGTCGCCGTACAACGAAGCGGAGACTAAGACCACTCTCATGTTTGGTGATCGGTGAGTATGATGATTGCATCGAGCCGCCTTCAAAACCTGTGCAGTATATACCTTCCTGCTGACGAAGTGTGGTGCCCCTGTAATTAGTGTCTAATTAACTCTCACACCCCAGAGCCAAGAGTATAAAGAACAAGGTTGCAGTCAACGTAGAATTGACGGCGGAGGAATGGCGGCGGAGGTTCGAGAAGGAGAGGGAAACGTCGCAGAAGTTGAAGTTTATAGTCCAGCAACAAGATGCTGAGCTGGCGAGGTGGAGGGCTGGAGAGAGCGTCCCCGAATCAGAGAGGTCGAGATTGAAAATGAAAGCTGTTGTAGCACCGACGACGGCAGGAGAATCACCCGCGGCCGTGACGGCTCAGGGTGCGTTAGGGGTTAATATTCCGGCGGCTGGGTTGGCCACACCCACTGCCACACCTATTGCCACACCCACTCCGGTTCAGACGAGAGCGTTTGAAGAGGAGCGAACAAGGCTTTGTCAGCAACTGGACGAAAAGGTTGGCATCCATCACACTAATCATCTCTCTCCTTATAATCTTCTGAAAATTCTTGAAGCATGGACACTTTAATAAACCATTCAGTTTACATGTGTAAATCAATGGTATAAACAGCTTTAAAAAAGCTGGGAGATTGAAATTGAAAAAGAAAGTGTCTCTCCCCTCGCCTCGTGCAGGAGGAGGAACTACAGGCCCAGTCGGAGCTGGTGGAGAAGCTGACAATGAAACTGGGAGATATCGAAGAGAACTTTGAGGAGTTGCAGAAAGACAATGCAACCATAAAGAAACAGGTACAATACTCCACTCTCCTTTAGCTCTATGTGTTCGATAGTTCCTCAAATCATGAAACTGGCTAATCTGAACACCAATTATGTTCATAATTTAGTGTGGTGTCCTTATTTCAGGGGTTAAGCAATAAACAGATTTGAGAGTTTCACTGTACTCGCGAAAACACTTCCACTCTATGATATACTCGCAAAACACGATATATTGTCAGCTTCCGTGATACTATTCCCTCTCTTCCCCCTCCTCCCCCAGATCACGGTGATAGAGCACGAGTTGCTCAGCAGCCAGGAAGAGGTCCACGAAGTAATGCAGGCGCTGGAAGAGCTGGCCGTCTCCTACGACACCAAGGACAGGGAGATAGGGACCGTCTTCAACGATAAACTGACTCTGGCACAGGAGAACGAGAGGATACAGGTGAGGAAAGATGTTGTAGCTCTTGGCACGTGGAAAAACGCTTTCTTTTGGGCTCCGTTCGTGGAAACTGCCACGATCAAAGCCTTGTGCTCCATCCTGTGTACAGGATCCTCTGTTTTGCAGCGCACCCGTAGTTTTTTGGACGCATCTTCCGTCTTGGGCTCTGGGTGCTTATAAAAATTGTGGGTGCTTATAAAAAATTGTGCGTATAGTGTCGGTTGAGTGCTCTGCATCTGTTGCACATTAGGGTTCGATAATTTTTTGGGCAAAAGAGAGGTTTTTTTCCCCGTGATGTCCTCCACAGAGTGTGTTGGATCAGAGAATGCTGGAACTGGAGAAACTTCGCGAATCGACTGGCCTCGACCGACGCAAGACCAACGAACTCCTCCTCTCCATCTTCCGCGAAGTAAACGGGGTTTCGTCCATTCTCTCTCCGAAATCGGACGAATGGGTTCCCCTCTCCTCCTCCTCTTCCTCCACGTCGGCCACGCCCCCTCCGAAGGTCACAGACGAGGATTTCACGAGGGTCAGAGTTCAGCTGTCGAACATGAGGTGCGAGGCGAGGTCGCTCACCGAACAGCGAGCCATTCTGGAACAAGCCGAGAGAGAGGCAAAGGAGAAGGCACAGGCGCTCATGAAGGAAGTTGCCAACTGCAAACTAAAACTTTCTCAGGTATATACCATTTTTTTCTCTTTCCCTTTTTTATCCCTTTCTAAAACTTTAGGCCACCAATTTTTCACGCACTGCTTTATTTTTATGCAAAGTTTTGTCTGCACTGCATTCTCCAGCTGTGGTCAAGGTATTCAGGATGGTTGGTTGTTCTGTCCTTTCTCCCACATGCTTGCTAAAAGTACAAAAAGTTTAAGCCACACCCACTTTTGACAATAATTGCACTGCATTCTCCAGCTATGGTCAAGGTATTCAGGATGGTTGGTTGTTCTGTCCTTTCTCCCACATGCTTGCTAAAAGTACAAAAAGTTTAAGCCCACCCCACTTTGACAATAATTGCACTGCATTCTCCAGCTGTGGTCAAGGTATTCAGAATGGTTGGTTGTTCTGTCCTTTCTCCCACATGCTCGCTAAAAGTACAAAAAGTTTAAGCCACACCCACTTTTGACAATAATTGCACTGCATTCTCCAGCTATGGTCAAGGTATTCAGGGTGGTTGGTTGTTCTGTCCTTTCTCCCACATGCTCGCTAAAAGTACAAAAGTTTAAGCCACACCCACTTTTGACAATAATTGCACTGCATTCTCCAGCTATGGTCAAGGTATTCAGGATGGTTGGTTGTTCTGTCCTTTCCCCCACATGCTCGCTGAAAGTACAAAAGTTTAAGCCACACCCACTTTTGACAATAATTGCACTGCATTCTCCAGCTGTGGTCAAGGTATTCAGGGTGGTTGGTTGTTCTGTCCTTTCCCCCACATGCTCGCTAAAGTACAAAAGTTTAAGCCACACCCACTTTTGACAATATTGCACTGCATTCTCCAGCTATGGTCAAGGTATTCAGGATGGTTGGTTGTTCTGTCCTTTCCCCCACATGCTCGCTAAAAGTACAAAAGTTTAAGCCACACCCACTTTTGACAATAATTGCACTGCATTCTCCAGCTGTGGTCAAGGTATTCAGGATGGTTGGTTGTTCTGTCCTTTCCCCCACATGCTCGCTAAAAGTACAAAAGTTTAAGCCACACCCACTTTTGACATTATTTGCACTGCATTCTCCAGCTATGGTCAAGGTATTCAGGGTGGTTGGTTGTTCTGTCCTTTCCCCCACATGCTCGCTAAAAGTACGAAAAGTTTAGGCCACACCCACTTTTGACATTATTGCACTGCATTCTCCAGCTATGGTCAAGGTATTCAGGGTGGTTGGTTGTTCTGTCCTTTCCCCCACATGCTCGCTAAAAGTACGAAAAGTTTAGGCCCAATATTCACTGTCACACAGACACAAGGGTTTACTGCACTCTCAGTATTCAATTGGTAGCTGTAAAATGTGCCAATTTTATTAATCTCCATTTTTGTAGTATGAGACGCACAACGAGACCCTGACAAGCACCCTGAAGAGGTCGGAACTGCAGAAGAGGGATCTGGAGGACAGTCTCCACTCATTGGAGGGGCAGCTGCAGGACATGAGGGGGAAGGAGGAATCACTGACTAGGGTGGAGAGAGAGAGGGAGCAGCGGACTGAGGGGCTGGAGCACGTGTCTAGAGAGGTAGGGGGTGTGTGTGTGTAGAGAAGTAGACAGGTTTCCTTCAGTAGAACAAACCTTATAGTTTCAACTCCCTTAGTTGCACAGAATGTGTTCTCTATTTCTCTATTGCACAGAATGTGTTCTCTATTCTCTATGCAGTGTTCTCTATTTCTCTATTGCACAGAATGTGTTCTCTATTTCTCTATTGCACAGAATGTGTTCTCTATTGCGTGTTCTCTATTTCTCTATTGCACAGAATGTGTTCTCTATTTCTCTATTGCGTGTTCTCTATTTCTCTATTGCACAGAATGTGTTCTCTATTTCTCTATTGCACAGAATGTGTTCTCTATTTCTCTATTGCGTGTTCTCTATTTCTCTATTGCACAGAATGTGTTCTCTATTTCTCTATTGCACAGAATGTGTTCTCTATTTTCTCTATTTCTCTATTGCACAGAATGTGTTCTCTATTTCTCTATTGCGGTCCTCTGTTGGACAAGCCCTGTGTTGAACGGAAATCCCATGTCTCTCTCCTCTCCTCTCTCTCTGCTGTAGCTGGAGGACCTGCTGGAGGACGCAGAGACACTCCTACCAGAAGCAGCTGGCTCTCCTTCAGGAGGACATTGCTGGCAAGGAGACGCAGATTGCTCAGATAACCGAGCAGTACAGAGCTCAGGTAATATGTAATCCTTTGCACAGGTGTATATTATAATGGCTATATAAAAACTTGTGTTGTAAAAGCTAGCACCAGACTGACTCTCTCTCCCACACACAGCTTTTGCAGATTGAGTCACTAAACTCAGAGTTGGGTACACTGAGTCAGCAGTATACCAGAGAGAAGGTCCACTATGCCAGCATCCGGCAGAGGGTCCGTGTCAAGGAACAGGTCAAGAGCGACTTGGGAGGACTCTCTGAGACGGTGGTGAGCAGAGCATTATACTCATTCAGAGAGACTTCTGGTTTCTTGTCTACATGGTGGGGGGACTCTTCCCCCTCCTTTGAAATCAGCAACTGGGGCTACCATGTCTTCCTCCCTTAGAAACCCCTTGGGAAACCATGTCTTCCTCCCTTAGAAACCCCTTGTTCAGTTGGGGGGGAGGAATTCCAGGAGGTTTTGTAAGGGAGGAAGACAGCAATGGTCTTTGTTTGTCATTCTTAGCCCACTCACCTTCTTACAAACCCTTTAACTCCACTACCATATAGTTGTCTTCCCTCCCTTAGAAACCCCCCTGGGAAAGCTTCTTTCTTTGTCATTCTTAGCCCACTCACCTTCTCATGTACAAACCCTTTTACTCCGCTACTCTCTCTGGTTTGACAAAGTTAGGCAAATGTTGTCAAATGATGAAGAAGGACTATGACTTTGTTTTTGTTACCTTCTCCGTGTTTTCCCCCTGATTCTCTAACCACCTCCCTTCCTCCCAGTCACATCAACTGGATAGACTCAACGACCTGAGAGAAACCTACTTCCAATTAATGACCGCCAAACTAAGGTCTAAGGGCTCCGACGATACCATGGCAACGGCATCGCCTAGCAACCGACAACTCCAGTTCATCGAGCGGAATTTGGAAGAAATCACACGAGTCCATAAGAAGGTATGTTTGTATACATACAGTATAGCTCGGTAGGTAGAGTCCTCTCTAGAACACAAAATGCGATCTCTTGTTTGATATGAGATTCAGCCCAGCCAACTGAGCTGCCTCAGTACTTAACTTGGCCAAACTATCTTTAACCCTTTTGCTACAGACGGTGTCGGAGAACGCGGAGATGCAGCGGGAAATCCCTCGACTGCACGGCGTGATGGCGTGCAAGAGCAAACGGATTGGCGAGTTGGAAAACATGCTGCGTGAGATGAAAGAGACCTTCAGCAAGGAGTACGACAGACTGAGACAGGAGAACGAGAAGATGAAGCAGAGCTTCATGGCCAAGCTGAAGGAGAAGGAGAGGGAATGTAAGAACCTGCCTTAATTTCATTACTAAGTTTTTGAGTCGCGAAATAAGTTGTTGGTTACTCGATGCGTAAGAAGACCAGCGGATTCCGTGGCTCAGAATTAGTGTGAAATGAAGAACCAACAGGTGTGTGTGTGTGAGGTCGTCAGCCAATGGGTGTAGTCTTGACTTCCCGTGGGTGGCTTAGCCTCGCCTGCGGTGTATAGTCATAGCTGGTGAGGCGGCCAGCCAGCCACACCTGGTAGTGTCGCCAGCAACTGGACTTAATGTATAGTTCCCTCTTGTGATGCCATTATTTTTCTTCCCTCTCTCTCCTCTTGCTGTTGCTCACTCCTTCCTCTTTCTCCTTTGCTTCTTTCCTCACCTTCCCTCTTCTCTCTCTCCCCCTTCTGCTTCTCCTCCTCCATTTTCCCTCTCTCTCCCCTCTCTCCCTCCCTCCCTCTCTCCCTCTTTACTCCCAGACCAACATGAAAGGATAGTCCGAAGACAAGGACCTCAAATAGGTACACACACACACACACACACACGTTGTATTAACCACCAGAAGACACCATGAAATAACCCAAAACTACCTAAACTCAGGCCATTTACAACGCGGAATACACCCACAGTTGCCATAGCAACCAGACAGATATATTCTCACAGCTTCTTTTGACAGTTACCGTGACGATGCCACGTCAGCACACACACACAGGTGTCGCAGCCACAGAGTTTGGTTGTTTTGTCGCCATAAGTGCCGACTGCAGCATATACCTTTCCCGTTTGAACACACTTTGGCGGCCTTCGATTTCTGTCCGTGTTGGGTGTACATTCACACGACCTTGGGCCCTGGTCACAGCTGGGGAACGATTATTCACAGACGTACACTCACACAAGACGCTCCGAGGTCACAGGGAAGTGCATGTCGTAGAAGGAAACTGAAGGAGGATTACTTGAGCGAGGGGTTTGATGAACTTTGCCTGACGTGTTGTTTACTGCATGGAGTCTGGGTTGATTCACTTTGAGTCTGGGTTGATTCACTTAGAAATCGTAAGTGTGTCCAAACTTGCTTATTATATGGCTTCAGTCTTACCTTTGACAGAGACCAACTAGTGGGATTGGGTCAAGTTGATCTGAATATACAGTGGAACCCCTCTCTAAGGACACCCCTGAAATTAGGACACCTTTTCTTTCCCCAAGAACAGTATATACTTGCAACCCTGACACCTCACTAATATGGACACTTTCTTCTGTCACGTTGGTGTCTGGATTCCTGTGTACAGATGCAATATGTAGAGTAGTGTGGAATCCAAGAGATCAGATTTTAGAACAATGTTGTAATCACCATATGGGAACTTTCTCTTCCTCCCACAACTATTCCATGAATGCTCTGGTTGCCATGTTGTGGACGTGATGTGGACGTGATATAACCGTTCACCACATTACTACACTTAACTTGTAACCACACACGTGGCCTTTCCCAATATATACAGCAGCACTAGATACTGTGTACTGCACAACAACAGCACATTTTTGTGGGCATATGCAGCACATGTGGATTTCCTGTGATAGAGATGCGTGTCCCCTCTCTCCTTCCTCTCCTCTTTCTTTCCCCACTCAGCATGAGACCTTTTCATGCACCCACATACTGTATATATAGTAGCCAAACCTTTACCCTTTTATACCATCCCTATAATATTTCTGAAGCACTTCCAAGTAATTGCTTGACTCTCTCTCTCTCTCTCTCTCTCTCTCTCTCTCCCTCTCCCCTAAGTTCGACCTGTCATTCAACAAAGGGCCTCCCAATCATCGGCCTCTCGAGACACTCTCCTGGCAGGGGCTGGGGTGACTGTTATCGGTCAGCGCAAGAAGCCACCCCAACTCAGTCTGTGAGTCCTCGCTATCACATGACACTCACCTGAGAATCACATGACCAAGGTGTTTACTAGCTTGCAACATCTCCGGGGTCAGTGCAGTAGAGCCCTCTCTAGGACACGTACTCTGCCTTGCTCTGTATGAGTGACTCTACGGTATACAGTTTATATGCAATTCCTTTCCCCTCCCCCCTGCCCCCCTGCCTTGTCCACATTCAGAGAACAAGAAACGCAGGCCCCGTCAGAAGGGGGCGGAGAGTCGACAGGCACTAGTGACTCAGCAGCAGCTGCCTCTTCCTCACAGCTCAGTAAGTCCACGGCCACCCAGACCACGGCGCTCATCTGCCTTGTTCTGCTCTACCTCCTCGCCACCCTCCTCTGGCAACAACAACACACCCTTGTTGCCAGGGGACTGTTGCTATGGGAATGGTAACCGTGGCAATGGGGTCGTTACCGGGGTGTCGTATTGGCAGTATGACCTCTGCAAAAAATTCTGTGTCGTTTTGTCTGTCCGCAGTGTGTTTAAAATTTTATCCCACCCATATTTCTTACATGAATGTTGTAACTTTTTTGTCAAAATTTTGCCTGGACCGCATAAAAATCACCAGATTTTAAACTATAATCATTCAAATCTCCGATAATACATATTTAAAGAATTTTTACCAATCTTGTCTTTATTGATCATCTTTTTGATGTCGTTTTTAAATCAAATCTGCTTTTATGTTTTGAAACCAAAATATTTTTGACAAAAGTTGATGAAAATGACCTCGTTGCCACGGTAATTGGAGAGCAAATTGCCGTAACTGCTCATCGATTACATCATTATGACATTATTGTTGCCATGGTATATATGCTAGGGCTGCTGTTATGTATGCTTTTATAATGGTAAAGATACATTAGTGAAGGTTTATATAATACTGTGTAACCTTCAGACCATATATTTGTACTACGCATGTATGACCTCCTGAACTTTAAAGTGTTGATATGTAGTTGTTGCAATCTACGCATTTAGCTGTTTATGTTTTCTTTCACTGGCGACATTTTGTGTGTGTGTGTGTGTGTGTGTGTGTACACTGCCACTGATATCCCAGCCTTTTACTGGTCTCGCCATCATTTTTATCTCACAGAGAAAGCTATCTGTACCAGCACTTTATAAATTTTCTGCCTTTCTCTCTTCCACCCTCCCTCTCCCCTCTCCTGTTCTCCCTTCTCCTGTTCTCCCTCTTCCACCCTCCCTCTCCCTTCTCCCCTCTCCTGTTCTCAGGGTCAAAACAACGAACATAATGACATTCCTCCGTCATCAGATCATTAACGTCGCAGTATAATCAATGTAGTCACATGTTTCACCAGAACTTACAGTGTTTAAAGGCTATGTATATATATATATTATTATTATATGTCGGGCCGGGATACAATTTTGGATGCGTTTTGCAAGTAAAAAAACACATTTTTCTAGTGATTAGAAAAATGTGCGTAAATGGAACTGACACCTTGTTTTTCAGGCTTCGAAATCATGGTGTATTCCATTGAGCCACGATACAATTTTGGCTACGGTTTTTGTCAACATTTTGCAAGGGGGGGAGAAACCGCTATTTTCTAAACCTCGGCAGTAACCGTAAATGAAACTGGCACCTCTGTTTACCTTTCTTACATTGAGTTATGATGCAATTTTGGCTACCGTTTTTGTCAACATTTCGTGGGGGGAAAAACCGCTGTTTTTAAAACCTAGTGATCTTGCTGACTCAAAGGACAAGTCCATATGTTGTAGTGACGGCCGAAGCAAAATGTTTTCGAGTTCTGTCCTCATTTTCCCATCCCAAACAGCTCTTGCATGCATACAGCTAACGTGTATGTACCTGACCTTTGGGTGTGAGTGAAAGTTCGTTCTGCATACGTAGCTTTATACGTAGCTTTACAGCAACACAGGTTGTTTGCGGTGATGAGTGAAATGTTTGGGTTTTGAGAACATGGAACGAATGATGTAACTATGATGTCGTCTGAATTGTTGTCATCTTATGTATGTGAGGGTAATAATTGTGATGGTGACTGTTTTCTGGTAATTTTGTGTCTCTAAGTGCTTTTTGAGTTTTTAACACGTGGAAAACTTATAGCTTGTAGTTTTCCGTTTCAACCACCTGTTGTTGCGACAGCAGCAGCACTCTCCAGCTGCTTTTGATGGTGTAATTATGATGTCATTCTATAATATGCAATGATGTCATGACACTGCAAGGCTTCTGTTTGGTTCTCTCAGTAGTTTGCGGTATAGTAAGCTGAGTTGTGGGCAAAGTATCAGGGGGAAAGAGAGAGGGAGGGGGAGGTAGAGGGAGAGAGAAAAGGGGCCTACAAAGTTGTCATGACAACTGGCACATTGAAGGCAGACAGCTGCAGGCAATCTTCGCAGCAATTTGCTAATTACTTGGCTGAGCAGGCGATGGCCTCCCTGGAACTGTCTTTGAGCAAATTCTCTCCCAATTCCCCATCTCCTTTTCCAGAAATCGGGCAATAAAATTGCGAATTTCATGAGGTCAGAGAGGGAGCAAGTGCTCACTCCAGTTACTATGGTCACTTCTGGGGTATTTGCACTGCATTCTCCAGCTATAGGCAAGGTATTCAGGGTGGGTGGTTGGCCAGTCCCTCCCCTCCAACGAAAAGTTTAGGCCATCCCATTTTCCACAGTTAATCCTTCTCATTCCCTCCCCTCTCTTTCAGCTACACATGGGGAATGGGGTCCTCACTGACTATAAGGTGTAGCTTATGTGTGTGGTGTGTGTATGCTGGAGTAAAGTGTCTGCAGTCTGTAGTAAAGGCTGGGTGTTCTTCTGCCCTCTGAAAAGCTGAAAGGCTTATCTCTAGAGTGGCTGCTGTTGTGTAGGTGTCTTGGTGGTGCCTCCGGCTTATCTCCCTGGCTCTCTGCTTACACAGTGACCACTGCCTCTTTTCGCTACTTCCTCCATCAGTTCTTTGGGTGGGTTTGGGGTTAATTAATCACATTACTCTGTACAAAGCCTATAGGTTTAGTGAGAATTCCTTTCAGCTGTCTTTGAAGCTGCACCCTCCCCTTGCATAGTTTTGTCTTCCATGGATAATCCAGGCGGCTTTGGTGGCCAACTATGCAAAAATTTTGGCATCTTAGCTGGTCAATTTTCTGAGTATGCAAACACCTTTAGATGATTCTTGAGAAAGGTTATACACACAAAAAAGGTTCCAGTAGCTATTATGCAGGGAATGCTGGGTCAGTGAATGATGCTGATCAGGTGACAATCATGTGATGACTGGAAGAACAAGTGGCTGACAGAAAGGTTGTAGAAAATGAAAGGACGCACACTTTTCAAAGAACTAGCATGTTGTATATACCAGGAAAAACTGAGTATGTTTTTCTAGCAACCACGTACAGAAACACATGGACACAAAAGTAAACGGCCAACGTAAACACAAACATCAAAGACAAATGCATCGTTGCAGTACGATGTCTGCACAGAAAGGGTGACACACTGACACACACGCACAGAGAGAGAGAGAGAGAAAAGTGTTAGTTGTCTGGTTTGAAGCTGCCCTGTTCGTGTTGTAAAGACACCCGTGATCGTGGTGGGACGGTGGGGGCGTGGGGGGAGGAGGGGGCGGACGTCTGTTTTTCTGGCATGGATTTCGCGTGGACCGGAGTGTGTTGCGGACTCTGGGTACTGTGGTGGGACAGTACGGAGGAAGAGATGGACCCCCGATCAAACACATCGTTAAGAACTCCGGAGTCGGAGAGGTCACCTGACCCCGACCCCGACAGGTGGGACGAGGACGAATAGCTCCCGTTGCTACGGAAACGGTCGAGCGTGATAGCGGTCGGTCTCCGTGACATCATGAGCGGGTGGACAGTGGCAGACGTGCCTCTTCGCTGCTTTGTCGAGGCGAACTCCTCCAGCGAAAGACAAGTTGTGCTCTCACAGTTTCTGACCGGTTTCATCGGCTCGCTGACCCTTCTTTCTCTCTCCGACATGACGGACGAGGCTCCAATGGTTTGGGAGAAGATTCGTAAACTACTGTGCAGGACGTTGTTTCGGGCCGATGGAGGGAAATCGGGACAACCGTAGTGTTGCCGGGAAATAAACGACAACTCGATGCCGTTGGATTCCTCCGTGATGAGGAGATGACCAGTTGCACACTCGGTCGCAGTCTTCAGCTCGCGCAGAATCTGATGCGTTGTCTGGAGTCCTGCGTTGACCACAAAGAAGTGAAACTGGTCAGCCTTGTGGTGGGCATTGCACGTCTCGAACCAGACAACGTCTGTGCTGTATGCGTCCATGTTTCCCATCCGTCGAATGCTCTTGAAAGGAATTTCAAGTAGACGTGACCCTGTCGTTGGCGAGATAACGACGACCTGATCTCGAGGATAAAGCTTTAATATTGCTTCTGCCTGAGCTGCCGTCAGTTGCTGTGGCAACGTCACGTGATACACTTGCTCTGCGGGAGGAAGAAATTGGGAGACAAAGAGTTAATTTGAAAATTTCTGATATGGTGCCAAAATGCTGCGTAAGGGAATTCGCTTAGTCTTGTTTGGAAGCCAGTTGTGTTTACGATAGTAATTATATTAACCGAGGTGAGTTTGAATACTAATTTGCAAACATTTGCTCCTATTCGGTACCCAGCGGAAACAAAACGCAACCGCAGACATGATAACACAACCCCCCCCCCCTCCCCCCATCTCTACTCCCTCCGTTTCTCTTTTTACCTTGTCCACACAGCTGGCAGAGTTTGGCTATCCAAATGTTCTTTGTTACTGCGTCCGGTGCGCGCAGAATGTACTTGCGTTCTTCTGTTTCGACGGCAAATCCGTGATCCTTGCTGCCCACCTTTGCATTCGGACACAGACTGACGAATTTCGAAAGATTGATTGAGCCTCGCTTTTCTTTGCACGTGTTATCCATGTAGTAGTTTAGTTCCACCGTGGAAGAGTCAAGCTGCAGTGAAGGGAGAATGAGGGATGGGGGGAGGGTAAAAAATGCTCAGGCATGCCACTTGCAGCGTGCTCGTAACCACGCCTATTGTCTGCTGCTTGTTAGGGCAAGGGGCAGGGGGTGGTATAGAGGTTGCATAAACACTCTGTGAGAGCTGGTGCACTTGTGGGTGGTATAGTGTCAAGACCTATTTTGGAGCGAAGACTTGCACATGCAGGGATGGAGCTGCGCTCTGCATGACTTAACCCAGGCTCTGCATGACTAAACTAAACCCTGGTGCTGAGTGTATAGTTCTCACTTCGCAGGCTTAGGAAATCACTGCAGCTCTCTTTGCTATATACGACCACACTGAATGTACTATAAATATCATTGTTAGCGCTCTCAGGGGAAGCGTCCCAAGGTGAAGCCAGAGGATATTGTATAATCACCAAGGATGAGGCCAGGAATGGAATGGGATGTGAATTGAGATAAGAGTGACATTCTCCTGCATTTTTACCCATGCACTGTTGACCATGCCAAACCGTAAGAGAAGGGTGCAAGGGTACAGAAAAGTGGGGTGTGTGTGCTTCTTAAGGTGAGGTTTGCTTACCGGATCGCTTCTTGAAAGAACAAAGTATCTCTTTCTCCAGCTCTGTAGGACAGACAATGAAGAACAGGTATTGTGTCAATTTTTCAAAACAACACCATCAATTCGTGTGTTAGCTAGCTATAGCTAGTAAGTATATATTCAGATTGCAACTAATGAGACAAAGGAGGTAAAAAGCACAAGAGATAAACTTCCCGTTGATGATACTATGGTTGATACAGCACCGCCAAAGATAAACCAGTTCAAATTTCCCAATCAGATCATTAGCAATGGGTCACCATGCTCCGGAGAAAAAGGCTCCGATTTCGCAAACCCGCGCATCTTACAAAATTTTCGCAGAAAGCGAATGTTGCAGTGTTTGTAATACAAACGGAACCGTGCGACTAGAGACGGACTGGACTTACGACGAAAATCTTTTCCAGCGGCGGGGTTTTCTGCATGTAGCTCTCGAAAAGGATCTCGCGGCGAGGCGGCCCGCGCGGGGAGAGCGGGCTGACTGGCGGGGAGTCGAAGGGAGACGGCGTCCTAACGGCCATGGCTCGTATAATGATACGACAGAACTTTTCACCGAAACGTACGGAATGCTTTTATGCAGAATGTGAAGCCGTGCGCGTGCGCACACTAAATCGCGTTCGTGACGTCACGGATTAAATCACGTGCAGATTTTAACCCCTTCGCTGCTCGCGGGAAATTCGCGGGAGATGGACGGTCCAAAAACTCGCGTCAACTTCTCGATGCTCCCGAAGCACGCTGGACAGTACGTGTGCGTGGTGGGCAAGAACTTGGGCGTAAGTCGAGCTCTATAGCACGTCCAGCTGTGCTGGAATCTTGTACACGGGAACATTCATAATTGGTAGGTGGGGCCTGGAGGAATGACGTTGTCCTTGGAGACCAGTGACCAGCAGAAAATGACTGCACATTTTTCCAAGCCTCAAGTAAGCCTCTTTAGCAAAGTCAATATTATCACTTCTCTTCTTCTGGTTTTTTTTACTTTGTTGTTCACTTTCCCTACAGAAGGATCCTCTCTCTGCGTATGTTGAGTTGGTTGGAAAAGTGGGACCTGATCTCTCGCTACAAGTGGAGAGAGCGGTTTCTTTTGGATCTGAGTTTGGTAGGTAAAACCCCACCGACCTCCGACCTCTGGCCACTTGCATGATGCACGTCAACAGTAGATGGGCTACAATGTGACGTCACGTGTGTGCAAGTACATTAGTACATTAGTATATGGGGATGACACAGGTTGTCCTGCATTATGCCCATATAGGGATGACACAGGTTGTCCTGCATTATGCCCATACATTTGTACGTTTCATGTATACGGTACTCCTTTAAGGGGCCAGGTGTGTCATTTTTCGTAGTAATCTGAGGCTTATAAGGTTTACTACTGCACTGTATCACAGGCTCTTAGTCTTAGCTTGGCAGATGGCATTTTTTCGCCACTTGCAATTGACCGACGTAGACATTTGTGGTCGGCGCTAATCTTGTTCCCTTCATTCCTCGATCCCCGAGCCAATAGCAACTCTGGCCCTCATGTCCACAGGGCAGCAATAATCAAACAAGCACATATATACTTCTTTGTAATCACATAAGGAAGCATGTCTCCGAGGACAGCAACAATGTCAATTAAATCTCCAAAAGAAGTACATATACTTCTTTGTAATGACATAAGGAAGCATAGATGCAGTTCCAAAGTGTTGTGCTGTGCCTCGAGTGTTAGCTATTTATTAGCTTTGTCTTTATTGGAAATCTGCGTGTTTTGAATCATTCTACTTTTCCTTTCAGATTTGGATGCCTACAATGAGGTGGTACAGCTGTCGGCACAGTTACCTGCAATATTTCCATCTTCGTCGTACTAACTCATCCCCCCACACTCTCTCATTATATCTCACTTCTCATAGACATTGCATGCATTGTTTTATGTACGTTTGCTATATATAATGTCTACGTGACAAAGCTTTGCTGGTTATATAATTTATTATAGCTCAGTTGGTAGAGAGCACTTTGCCTCGACTGCACAGTGTCGTGGGTTTTGAATCCCACTCTGGGAATCACTCGGAAATAGAAAGTGTGGTCCTGGGGGTATAGTTGTTTTTGCCATGCGTTTACCTTGCGACGTATTTGTTGTTGTTGTGAATTCCCGATGGTGCATAATTAGTCGCAGTGAAACCTGTTAATTTGAATTAATGGGAGGTGTCAAGGCAGTAGTAGAACTCCACGTAAGTTCTCGTTCCTGTTTTCTTAGCCAGTTGTGCCGCATAAACAACCGGGCATGTCTGATTGTGTTTATTGTGTATTATGACCTCTATAGACAATGTGTTATGTAATAGGTCTATGTATCGTAGCCATACTTCGGGTGAGATGTGTATATAGGTGTCTATGTTTGGTTGTTGGGAATAAAAATGGCGTGTGCTTGCTACAAAGCGTTCTGGGTGGGAAAACAATGTTGGCAGGCTTGCCACAGTATAACCACCGCCAGTGCTATGGGGAAATAATGTAGTATGGTTGCATCATCAGCTTTATTGCAGCTGCTTAGCTTTGTCTTGGAACGCCATTCCCATGACATCATCGCCGATATCTATAATTAGATTATCTGACCTGTTCGAAAAACTCATTTAACTATTTTCAGACGACATGTATATAAAACAATTTGGTTCTAAATTTTGTTCAAAACATAAAAACACAGCACCAAAAGGTTTTTTAAAAGTTACAGTTTGGATTGGTGCTTTAGTTCTTCTTTGGCGACTGTCTCCAAGTGGACAATGTCAGGACCATCAGCAATTCGCAGACTGCGGACTCCCGCGTACCAACTGGCCAACGGCACGTCGTTACTAACACCAGCCCCTCCAAATATCTGGATGGCTCTGTCTATGACGCGGCAACCCATGTTAGCAACCACCACCTTTATCCCCGCAATCTGAAGGGGGGCGAGTGGAGGAGGAGGAGGGAGGGGAAAGTGGTAGAAATTTTTTCCCCACGAAATGTGCACTGTTGCCCACTATGGCGCAGAGACAGAAGGATTCCCCGAAGGAGTAAGGGACAGTGGAACCCTTTGGACGCCATGGGTATCTTCTTATGGACGTATGGAGGCTCTGGACACTTTTATGTGTCCACGGCTGGTTAAGTGTTAAGAGGACAACTCTCTAATAAGGACACCCCTGAAATGAGGACAACTCTCTAACAAGGACACCTTTAGTGTCCAGATCAGAGGGGTTTCGCCATTTTGAAAATTTATTATGCATGGGAGGGCAAACATGACTGGAAGCTGTGCACTAATGGGGAAATGACCTGCATCCAGATTAGTGTAGTTGGCTTCATAGTTCACTGCATATGAAGCCTTCTACACCACCAGGAAATGAAAATGCACACCTCTCTTCCTTAGCTTTACGAGTGCAATGACGTAATGAATATGATGTAATGATGACATAATGGTGAAATGTATTCTTCACCTCTTTCCTAGCTGCCTTGGTTCCCAGAGTGTCTATGGCATGAGCTGCTCTGAGTACCAGCAGTCTACTCTGGTCTAATTCCAGTCGAGATTCCGCAATACTCACTCTCACTGTTTGCTGGAGAGAGAAAGAGAGAGAAAGAGAGAGAGAGAGAGAGAGAGAGGGGGGGAGGGAGGAAAAAACCAAGTATAAATAAGCGAAGATAAAGTGAGATACATAGAGTATGGAAACCACAGATAAGGTAAAATGAGAGAGGGGAAGAAGTTGAGAGTTTGGAATAGGTAAGCTCACATGCCAGGCTAGTCGATGCCCGAAGGCTCTCCTGGACACAGCTCTCTGGGTCATCAGTTCCAGGGCCCTCTCAGACAGTCCGATGGTCCTCATGCAGTGGTGGATCCTCCCCGGGCCCAGTCGGCCCTGAGCTATCTCGAACCCTCGTCCCTCTCCCAGGATGAGGTTCCTCGCCGGGACCTTCACCTGGTCAAACTCCACCTCGTAGTGGCCGTGGGGAGAGTCTGAGAATACAGGCAGAGAAGGGTTAAATAATAAATGTCAGGCAGGGAAGGGCTAACCAAACTTGGGGATTAAACTTGACTAATAGCTGTATGAATAGTCAGATAGAGAAGGGTTAACAAGCTAAACAAGGAACACTGGGCAGGGAAGGGTTAATTTAATAAAATCGGGCAGGGAAGAGTTAAAAAACCAACTGAGGGGAAAGATACACAGTATTATAGTATGAATGTGAAAGGAGAGGGAGAGGGGGAGAGAAGGTGGTAGGGAGACAGGATGTTGGCTGGAGTTTGGAGGAGATGAACAAACAATCAGTGAGGGGGAGAGGAGGGAGTTCACCCACACACACAGAGTAATTGGCTAACAAATAAGGAGAGTGTTAGTGGTGGTGTGGGTCCTCTCAGTAAACAAGTGGTTGCAACACGTGGACGTGTGTACACTTTTGAGTGGAGAAGCTTTACATATGAATGGATCATGGAACTGAAGTGCTCACGTTGCTTGCACACACACACACACACACACACAGGCACACACACACACACACACACACACACAGGTTACCTACCATTGTATCCAAAGACGGTTAAAGGGCGTATTTTCCTCACTTCCGGTGTTGCCATGGGTACCAGGATCATCGAGTGACGATGTAATCTATCTGCATCCGGATTGGTCACTCCCATTACTATGGCGACGGCACATCTGGGGTCGCCGGCTCCACTAGTCCACCATTTTCTTCCGTTCACGACATAGTGGTCTCCATGGTTACTGGGGGTTATGGTACACTGTATGTTGGTGGCATCGCTAGAGGCAACGGCTGGCTCTGTGGGGAAAGGGTTAAGAGTAAAATACTGCTACAAGGACACCCCTGACACCTCTCTAATAAGGACCTTTTCTTTCCCCAAGAACAGTTCTTGCGTGCAATTTAACCCCCTAAGATATGGAAACGGACCACTTTATTCTGTCCCGTTGGTGACGCTATGGTGTGAACTTGCCTGTCATTCCAAAACAAGATCTGATCTTTCCCTCCAGCAGCGGTTGAAGCCACTCCCTCTTTTGCTCCTCGTTGCCATAGAGATACAACACCTCCATGTTACCAGTGTCCGGGGCGGAGCAGTTGAACACCTGAGTCAGGCAGTCAGGGAGAATGAAAAAATATCTTCAGTGGGGCAACTAACATCAGCGATTGTTGTGCATGTGTAAGTGGTTTGCGATTTGCTGCATCTTTTTGGCAAGCGGAGGGATCTGTTTGTGTGTCCTGTTTTGTCCGTCTAATGATGTGGTGTGGCGTCGCAGAGCCGGGTCTTCATCTTCACCACAATCGTGTTAGAGGAAAACTATGCAATACAAGACAAGATTCTGTGTGCCTCGCGTTTGTTCTGCATAGAATATCACGTTACTCTCGCGTAGTCTGCATTTAATAGTTGTGGCAAGCGATTTAAAAAAATTACTAAAATTTGTAGTTGTTGCACTAATCTTAGTCAAATTAACCTCGGAAGCGAAGGGACACCGCCCCATTTCCTCCGCCATGGGGGCGTATTCCAGCTGGCTGAAACCGGACAAACCGGGTAGAAACAGGTTCCACAGTCCCACCTCCCGAGCCTTCTTCTTCAGCTCCTCCATTATTGGAGGGACCACCCATTGCTGATCGGGATCGATAGCGTGGGCATATAGTGCCTGCATGGAGTTGCAACAGTGGAACCCCTCTAATTAGGAGCCCAATGGGACAGAAGAATTAGTGAGGTGTCCTTATTTCAGGGGTTACATTGCATGCAAGAACTGTTCTTGGGGAAATAAAAGGTGTACTTATTAATGTGGTTAAAGGTTCCCTAATTATAGAGGAGTTCCCCCACTTACCGGTTCTGCCGGGTAGACATGTTCCCTCATAAACTCTTTCAGTTTCGACAGCGTGACCTTTGCCCTCTGGGAGTACCCGACAAAGTCCAGGACGGGTGGGGTGTTCTTGACTGTTCTAATTAGAGCACATCCAGCCTCGGCAAGCGGTTGAACGAGGTTCTTGTAAAACAGAGCAATTGAGCTACTGGCGTTTCCTTGGATACCACGTGCATACACCCCCTATTTTAGAAAGAAGGGTATGAATATCGTTAATGGCATCGGTCTATGGGACAAAACCTGGGCAATAGAAGCCATCCTGAAATATGACAGCGCAAGAAAAAAGGTCCAGTGTGGGAGTGGGTGTGGTCTCATTGTCATGGTGGCGTACATCATCATTATGTCATCGGAAGAAGGGAACCCTTCATCCCTCTGAATGTCATCAGTAAGATCTGGTACTACAGTCATTAGAGAGAAGAGAGAGAAAGTAGAACTCCTCTAATCCAGACACCAGTAGGACAGAAGAATTAGTGAGGTGTCCTTATTTCAGGGGTTAAATTGCATGCAAGAAACTGGGAAAGAAAAGGTGTCCTTATTTCAGGGTCATTTCAGGGGTGTTCTTAGAGAGGTGTCCTCATTTCAGGGGTGTTCTTAGAGAGGTGTCCTCATTTCAGGGTCATTTCAGGGGTGTTCTTAGAGAGGTGTCCTCATTTCAGGGGTGTTCTTAGAGAGGTGTCCTCATTTCAGTGGTGTTCTTAGAGAGGTGTCCTCATTTCAGGGGTGTTCTTAGAGAGGTGCCCTCATTTCAGGGGTGTTCTTAGAGAGGTGCCCTCATTTGTTCTTAGAGAGGGGTTCCACAGCATACAGATGTGGAGACAAAGAGAGGAAGGAGGGGAGGTTGGGGTAAATAAGGAGAACTGACTGAGTCCGGGAGAAGTGAAGAGAGAGAAGTAGGCAAGGTCAGACGTGTGATGACCGATGGTGCTCAGCTCCCAGTCTAACACTGCTACTACACGAGGCTGTTTATCAGATATCAACGCAGTACAATGGAGGAGAGTGCAACACTTACCTCAGTTGGATGGAAGATGACATTGTCCAATCTGTAGTCGCCATGAACAATAGCTGTCAAAAACAAGGAGAGTAACAGTGAACCTATATAGACAGACACATCTCTTTAGTTGTTCAGCCACATACTAATACTATTACCTCTGAATAAAGGGACACTTTCAATATTACCAAGAGACTGATTGCTGACAGGAGGAGTATTTGTCTTCAGCCAATCTCCCAGTTCCCTCATCTCACTGTACTTCTCTGTTTCCTTTGACGCCATCTCGTAGTTGTTTGCCCATACTGACACCTGCAAAATTTTACACACTGATGAAATATTTTTGCATATTATGACTAAAATTTTATAAGGCAATCCATTAAAATTTTATTAGTGCATACTTGTCTAGAGCAGTAGTCTCCTCTGCCTCCATACTGTTCCAAGCCACACACCCTCCAATCAATGGAATGGAGTTGTGTCAGGGTGGTCGTCATGGCAACAAACAGCTCCCTCCGTTCCCCGGGAGACATGTCAGGGAGGTTGGTGTCGTGGAATATGCGGCCCTGAGTCAGTGAGGGATCAAGTGGTGTCAGCTTGACGCAATCTGATTGAGAGTAGCGCAAACCTTGACGCACTCCATGATGTAGAACTCGGTTCCAATAACGGAGCTGTCCTCGCAGTAGAGGAATGGTCTGGGGACTGGAAACCCCACCCCATGCAGAGCCGATATCACCTTGTACTCCCTATCTACCTGAGAAGATATACGCACGCGCTTAGCATAATACACGCATGCGCTTAGTAATGCTTACACAACTAGCCCCACCCACTTCACAGCTGCTTTCATTTTCGGTTGAGCTAAGTTACGGGGGCAGCGGCACTCACCCTGTGAGCTCCAGGGAGCAGCTTTCCCGGCGGTCGACGCCTCAGAACTAGTTCCCCGGGCGCCGCGGCCATTAGGTGATAGGTGGGGTTCGATTCCCCGTGCGAGAACTGCCGGACGACCAGGCGCCCTGGGTCGCACTTGAACCCCGGCAGCCGCGCCGCCAGGTAGCGCCGCAGAGACTCCGCGTCGATTTTCAGCCGCTCGGGCACCTCCTTGATGTTCAGCTCCATTTTTATTTTCCTTGGCCGGCGCGGAGCTGCTCTCTATATAGCTCTAGCTAGCTAGCTCTAATTCTCTGCACACCAGTTCTCGATGCGCATGCGCATGTGCGTTCGGCTTGTCGTAAAAATCAAAATTGTGACACAGACAAAAGATACCTATATTGAAACAACTTCTCTACTACCAAATGTTCTAAATTCGTGAATTATTATCATTATCGCAGACTATAATAGTTTACAATGATGTCACCACTCCAAAACAAACGGAACTATTTCCTGGCGAAGGTACGACCCCTGCAAAAAAACAAAGAAAGTGAAGAGGGAAATAGAAAACAGACAAGAAAGAGAAATTGAAAGAAAAAGAGCGAAACACAAACGTGATGGAAGTAGTGCGCTGAACTTACGAAATTGTCTTCTTCTCGGTGGTTTTGATCTCAGGGCGGGCTCTGTTTAGAATCTTGAGTAGTGCAGCTGTTCTGACCCTCATACGGCAGTGGAGGTAGGCCTTGGAGCACTTGATGTGGTAGTGGAGGTAGTCACGGAACGTGTGGATCAGATTCACCGTCTTGTCGGCCGCCGCTTCGTCCTTGAATGATCTTGGAAACAACACTAGAGAACAGAGAGAGAGAGAGAGAGAGAGAGAAGAGAGAGAGAGAGAAAACGGCAATGGAGGGAAGGGATGAAGATACAGGCAGGCAGACAAGAGGAGAAGAAGAAAGTAGAGGGGATAGAGACAGACAGGTAGGGAGAAAAAGGTCTTCTCTACGGCAGAAGTTGGGTTGGCTTGTCTTACCGAAGGTGATGTAGCCAACGTTTTGCCCCGTGAGAGCGTCTGTTCCCTGCAGCTCGGCCGGGGGCTCGGCGTGGCTGAACAGGACCTGTGGAGCAGTGCCACTCCCTCTCCTGCCCTCCTTGAACTCCTACACACACACACACACACACGAAAAATTAAAAATTAAACAGTCACTGACAAAAGATCTGCAATTAATGCTTATTACATTTCCGTACACACTGAGTGAAAAAAGATTAACTTTTGTTTCTGTGCAAACAGTGACGCGGACGTGCTAACAAATTGTGTTTATTCAAACAGTAACACAGACAATCTACGAACGCAAAAACGATTCCATTATCTCTCCTATATACCGCATCATTTACCTGCATGAAGACTTTCCCGATGATAATGTCGTCGTCATCGGTGAAGATGGTACTGAAAATAACAGTCACCCTGTCTTTCTGAGCCGACACATACCTTGACAAGGGTATATATAGCACGAAAATCAATTATAGGGTAATTAGGTAGGGGCATCCCCACGTGTGTTACTGAACTGACATTGTTTCTCTGTCGCGGTAGTGAATGATGGCAGTTGCGTCTTGTTTCCCGTCTCTCTGCAGCTGAAAGTACTTGTGGAAGACTGACGCAAAACACTTGCACTTTAGCAGAGCTGCCTTTTCTGCCCACTCCTCTGGAAGAGAGAGAGAGAGAGAGAGAGAGAGGGGGAGGGGGGAGAAGCACAGTAGGGCAGTCATGTAAACACACATTGTGTACATCGTTCTAAATGACTATATAAGGTCAAAATGCCATCTTTTGAGCCGCTGTACGTATAAATACTGAGTTTATACGTGCCGTCCAAGGGCTTACACAACTGATGTCTGTCTGCCAGTGAGACAACATAATTATTTGAGGGGTTTACCCTTATTAGCTGGGAGGTTTTCGTAGTCGAATTGTAGGGAAATGTCATATCCATCTTCTGGTGTGACTGCATAGTCTCCATAGAATTTTTGGATCAGCTACAGAGGGGGAAATGGTAGGAGAGAGGGCGGTATCAGTGAACGGAAGGAAGGGGGTGTTCTAAATAGAACTCACCTCCTCTGCGCCATGGGCCTTCAAGTCTGAGTAGAACTTGAGGGAGATGCTGACCTGAGGAGAGAGAGAGAGAGAGAGAGAGAGAGAGAGAGAGAGACCGAAGTGTCAGGGACAATGGTGGGAAACTGACTAACTCTTATCTTTCCCTTGTCACTATCAGGATTAGAAATGTGGTACAGGACTCCGTCAAAATCTGCACAGGGAAAAAGATTACATCACCGTGACAACATGCACACACTCGACCTGCACCAAACGCACCTGCCACTGTAATGTCTATGCTCTCCGGCTTTGGGCTGAAGAAAAACAGAACGAGGCAACCTCATCGCTAAAACTAGGATTATCGGCGTCTGTTTGGCGCCTGGAGCTCACCTGTTGAAGCGGTGGAGGAGGGTCTCCTCTATGATACGGTTCTTGATCTCCAACAGAATCATGGCGGCCCCAGACTCTCGCTGCACTCGCTCGCCTCTTCCGGAGAGGGCTAGACTTCCTAATTTGGTCGTCCACTCAGTGCACGTGACAATTATAAACGTCACGTGACAATTATCTATTAACCTTTCTTCTACTGATTTTTGTGAGTTCTGAAAAAACAGCTTTGGCCCGGAAAGAGAGACGGGGCTTTTTGGCAGTGATAATGGCTAGACGACGCGCAGGAATAGGCGCCATCAACAAAGGAAAGATAGACAAGGTTTGTGGGCGAGGAAAGAAGTCACATTGTGTGAACGGAGGGGGGTCTGACTGCAGGGGAGATACTCGGCCAAAGCCACTGAGATTGGAGAACTGGAGCTGTCTCACGTGAGCGGGCAACTGGACACGTTCAGAAAGCAACTCGAGGCGTTTGCCACGAAGCACAAGTCGGAGATCAGGAAGAACGCAGAGTTCAGAGGTCACTTTCAGCAGATGTGTGCTCGTATAGGGGTGGACCCTCTGGCATGTGAGACCTCTTACCTAGCACACAAGTCTCACGTGATGAATCACGTGATCTATTCCCCAAACAGCCAGTAAAGGGTTTTGGGCACAAACATTGGGCGTTGGAGACTTCTACTATGAGGTGGATAGAGAAAATCTAAAATCCTAACAAATGTTGAAGCGATATTTCTCTTTTGCTGTGTTTGTGTTTCAGTTGGGGGTGCAGATAATAGAGATTTGCCTTGCGTCGAGAGAGAGAAACGGAGGGCTAATGAGTTTCCACGATCTTCAACGAAAGGTTCTGGCTACCAGTGGAAAGACGAGACAGGACGTCAGTGAGTGAGTCAGTTGTAGTCTGTAACTGGGGATCAGCTGATAGATTGATTTATTTTTTGTTATCAGCTGATTGATTGATTTTGTGATTAGCATGTAATCAGCTGCATTGATTGGTGATCAGCTGATTGATTGATTGATTGATTGATTACAGGGATGATCTTGCCAGGGCAATCAAGAAGCTCAAGATCCTGGGGGCGGGGTTTGCAGTGATTCCAATGAAGGGAGGGAGGTTAGTTCAGTCTGTTCCCGGTGAACTCAACATGGACCACACTGCCGTGCTACAGAAAGCAGAGGTGGGTTGGTAAAATGTGTATATTTATAATTATGCTCGTTTAGTTGAAGATGCGATGTGCATTCACAAAATTTCCAAAGTATGATTCTGTGCTGTGTATACTGTGCAGGGGTCTGCTCATACCAGTGTCTGTGAGTTGGTGAAAGAGTTGGGGTGGACTGAAGTTAGAGCAAAGAGCATTCTGGTAAGCAACATGTGGTGCTGTGCATGTTGCATACACTGTCACATTGCTTCCATCCAGGATCATTTGGTTCACGAAGGGATGGCGTGGGTGGACGACCAAGGTGGACCAGAAAGACTTTATTGGTTTCCTGGTCTTTTCGAGACTAGAGACCCCAGCGCTAGTCTATCTAGCCTCAGAATGTAGCGCGAGCTCGAGCATCACTTTCGCATTATATGCGCATGCGCGAATTGATTTGACGGACGCGCGCGGGAAACGGGAAAGATGGCGGCTGAAAGAGAGGGTAGAGAAGCTCTGTTCGACGCTGCTGTTTCCGCGTTGCTGCGCGGTTGGCCGGCGCTCAAGATGGCCGTGAGCAACCAGTTCGGCGGTCCTCAGAGTCAGGCCAAGGCCACGTGGATGGAGGGCGCCACGGCTCAGTGGATGAGAGAGAACGGTGAGCGTCGTGTCTTCCGTGCGTGTCTACGTAGTGCACGTAGACGTTTCAGCGTCGTTCTTGGCAACGTTTTGGCGGTGAAAGTTTCCCTAGCTAAAGTCTGTAGCTATGGAAGCAGTAGATGACGTATTTATTTTCTTTGTCAGTTGGTGTACAGGCGGATGAGCTAGAGACGTTCCTTGAAATTCTACTAGACCAGGAGTTTGACACCATCGTAGATGATGGGAGTACACCAGAGGTTGGTCACGTGACTATCACGTGATCCTGGAGTGAATCACATGAACCTGTTTAGGTGTCTCGGAAGATCTGTGATCTTTACCAGAGCTGCTGTAGTGGAAACGAAGCTAGTGTTCGGACATTTTTATCCTCACAACCCCTCCCTCCCCCTCTCGTCCCCTCTAATAATCCTCTTCCCTCATTGGATGACACAATGGAAGAGGAAGCAGAAGGGAGTGGAAGTGTTGAAGTTGTGATGGAGGAAGAGAGGGGGGAGAAAGAAGAGGAGGGAGACTGGGAAGTGGTGCGAAAATCCCGAAGGAGAAGTAAAAATTGACCGTTTCTTTTCTGATCACTTTTATGCCATTATACCATCAGCAACTTTATTTATTCAATTGTAGAAAGACATACAACAGCGAAATGATCCATAGCCCAAATAGTACATTGAATGTAGTCATGTGGCACATTACATCATAATGACATCATCACATTCCCATGCCTCCCATCCCACCCATGCCCCCCATTCCTCCGCCAGGCATTGGCTCCTCTTTCTTTGGTATCTCTGTGATTGTCACCTCCGACGTCGTCAGTAGCGACGCGACTCCAGCTGCATCTTGTAGGGCAGAACGAACCACTTTGGCAGGGTCAATGATTCCTGGGGGGGAGGAAGGCAGAAGTAAAGGGTTAAAAGATATTATACAGTGGAACCCCCACAATCCGGACACCAATTTGGCAATAGAAAGTGTTGGGGGAGATGTGCACACAGATAATGGTTTTAACTGTAGACACATGGATTACAAAATCCCTCACCTTCTTCGATCATGTCCACATAGCAGTCATGAAGAGCATCGTACCCTTCATTGGCACTGGATGACGTCATCACTTTCTGCACCACAATTGAGGGGTCCACCCCTGCGTTCTTAGCAATAGTGGCACACGGCGTCGTCAACGCCTTCCGAACAATCCCCACCCCCTTCCTCTCGTCTGCAGAGTCTGGCTCCAGCGTATCCAAACTAGGGATACACCTACGGGGAAAGTCCCGGTAAAACACATTACATCATAGTGAGGTAATGTGTACCGGATGAGTGCCACACCTCCTCCTGGTACGATGCCTTCTTCGACGGCAGCCCTGGTAGCATTCAGGGCGTCGTTGACCCTGTCTTTCTTCTCGTTTACTTCAACGTCACTGGACCCTCCGATCTTGGGAGATGAAGCGAAGGAGAGAGAGAGAGAGAGAGAGAGAGAGAGAACGTGGTACAGAGAAATGGTTCGTATTCAAGAAAGTAGGGGAAAGGAAAGGCTAAACAACCACCCTGAATACCTTGACTATAGGGAGTCAAACCCAGGGGAAGAAAGCATAAGTTTTCACCTTTAGCACAGCCACGCCGTCAGAGAGTTTCGCCAGCCGTTCCTCCAGTTTCTCTCTCTCGTAATCAGAGTTTGTTTCTTCGACCTCTGCTTTGATCTGCTCCACCCTCGCGGCTATGGCTCCTTCGTCTCCCTTCCCTGTCCACACAAGAGATATAAAGTAGAGCCCCTCTCAAGTACACCTCTCTAATATGGACAGCTTTTCTTTAGTTTGTCAATTTAACGAGGACACCTCGCTAACTTGACCACACTTTCTTCTGTTCTACCTTTCATGAGCAGTGTGTCGTCTTTCGTTACCACGACCTCTCCGACCTTTCCCAGGTTGCTAACGGTTACGTCCTCCAGCTTGAGTTCGAGAGCCTCGTCTCCGAAGACTGTTCCGCCGGTCGCGATGGCCATGTCGTGCAGCTGGTTCTTACGGTTATCTCCAAACCCTGGGGCCTTTACCGCACACACCTGTAAACCAACCTTTAACCTATGGCAATAGACGCAGATTAGCACAGTGACACGTGTCCTGAAAACCACGTCCTAAAAATTTAGGTGTCCTAAAACACAAATATGCCCTAGTGTCCTCATGACCTAATGCTCAGGTGTCCTAAAAGCACAAATATTCGAGATTTCTTCAACTGGTTCTGGGAACTGGACTGGGAACTGGACTGGCCTGTTGATAACAAGTGTAGTGAGAGCTTCTCCGTCGATGTCCTCTGCGATAATTAGTAGGGGCTTCCTCTGAGCATTGGCCAGCTCCAGAGCGGGCAACACTTGCTGGATGCTCGAAATCTTCTTTTCGGAAAACAAGACTAATGCGTCCTCAAATTCAACACGACTCCCTGAAGAAAAAAACCAGTTGGCATGAAAATTGTTCGGTTGCAGTGTTGGTGGGCAAAGGTTAAATACCTTTGTTAGTGTTGATGAAGTACGGAGAAATGAACCCTCGGTCGAACTTTGAACCCTCAATCGTCTCCAGTTCGTCGTGCAGCGTCTTGCCGTCTTTGACAGTGATGACTCCGTTCTTCCCAACAGTCTTCATGGCCGATGAGATGAGGGAGCCAATCTCTCTGTCTCCATTGGCTGAGATTGTCGCCACCTGTGCAAGTGGGGGGACACGAGGGAGGTGGGAGAGGCCATCCTTGACCTGTCAGTACGCTGTGTCGGTCATACCTGAGCAATCTCCTCTGGTGTGGTGACTGGTTTAGCCAGCTGCCTTAGCTCCCCGACGACCACCTCCACGGCAGCCATTACACCTCTCCTCACCTCGTGAGGGTTGGCACCTTTCGACACCGCTTCAAACCCCTCCCTAGCTATGGTCCTGTGGGAAATGGGGGAATGAAGGAATGAGAGAATATGAAAATGAAGAAAGGAAGAATGTGAGGAATGGGAGAATGATACAAAATATAAAGGAGAAAAAACAATAGTGAAAAGACTGGGTGGAAAAGCACACTAAGTCGGGAGAACGGGGGAATGAGGGAATGGCAGTATGGGAATCAGACCTGGCAAGAACAGTGGCAGCAGTGGTACCGTCTCCAGCCTGCTCGTTGGTGTTGCTAGCCACGTCCTGGACGAGGCGAGCTCCAATGTTGTGGTTCTTGTCCTCCAATTCCACTGCCTTGGCAACCGTCACTCCGTCCTTCGTTATCTTGGGGCTTCCCCATGATTTCTCAATCATTACATTCCTTCCCTGTCAGAAACCAAGCAAAAATTTACCTTTCGTAAAATTTTCACTACCTCATTCACACTAAAGCTACCCATACTAGGTATCAATGGCTCATTCTATGGTGGACAATAGAAGGCCCTGCCTCTCTACTTTAGTCCAATGGAAGTAGCAAAGAGCTATGTGAATGTAGCGTTAAAAGCTCAAAAGAGACAATAACCCCATTCACCCCCACACTCTACACTGACGTTCAACCCTCTTCCCAGCACCACACATTTTAACCCCTTACACTCCCTTTCTATGTCATCGCCCATGGTTTACAGACACACACCTTGGGCCCCATAGTGACTGCTACTGCATCCGCCAAAATATCGACTCCTTGCAACATTGCCACGCGAGCATCGGCTCCGAATTTCAGATCCTTGGCATAGCCTCTGTTGCACTGGAGGGCCGGTGCGACTCGGAGAGGGCGGGGCAGTACCCGCAACACGCGACCTGCCTGCATCATCTTTCCCCTCGAACTCTAAAGAAATTCGATCTGCAACGCACCCCGCGTACATAGATATAAGCATACCGTGATGCTCTAATAGTCTCACCTCTTTTGTACGACCGCTTCGAGACGGGGTCCTGCACTGCGAGCGCGAGAGAACTGGGAACTGAACAGAGAAGCCTCGCGAACTGTCTTTTACCCCGCACGTGTGCACACACGTGTGTGTGTGTGTGGATGATGCAACTCACGCGCATGCGTATAAAGCCACGTGGCCGTCAGTACCAGAATTTTCCTTGGCTTTGTGATCGTTTCTGCGCCCCAAGGAAGAGATGGTAAGATGCAGTTGTACGAACATGAGCTTCTCTTATCACTATCTTATGTGGCTATGAATCTCCCGCCCTTCTTCCCGTGCACGTGATCAACAGGCAGCGGTAAAAAGGTTCAGACCTCTACTTGACCGCGTTCTTGTACAGAGACTCTCTCCAGAGACGGTAAGACATCAGTTTCTTTATGCCACTCCCACACCCGCTTCTTCCTTATCTATTTCTCGGTCCTATCTCTCTCTACCTCTCAGAAAACTAAGAGTGGACTGGTTATACCTGAGAAGGCACAGGAGAAAGTGAACGAAGCAAAGGTCGTTGCCGTGGGGGCGGGAGGCAGGAACAAGGTAAATTGTCTCTTAGCTCTTCTCATTACATCCCTGTTACCCCATTACTGTTGCTATACTGCCTCTTATATATATACCTCATTACCTGCCAATAGCTCTGGGTTTCACAAGCCCCTTGCAGAGTGTTATACTATATATTCGTATTATGGAAGTTGCTGTGTTGTTAATTCCCAGGACTAATCCGGTTTTTAGCCCATGATTGCCTTCACCATTGACTAGCTAAAAATATAAATAAGTGATCTGAGTGTTACGGGGAAAGGTAGGAGAAGTTATATGAGTCTTGCGGGGAAAGAGTTCCACACCATTGACTAGCTAAAAGTAGAAATAAGTGATCTGAGTGTTACGGGGGAAAGTAGGAGGAGTTATATATATGGAGAGTGGCTGGCAAAGAAACTGGCAATTTCCAACAAAGTTTGTTGCCTAGGCAATGAGAACAATGTTTCGTAATGGATTTAGTGAGTGGTATTTTGACTGTGTTAGGGCGGAGAGGTGGTCCCAGTGTCTGTTACCATCGGCGACACTGTTCTAGTACCAGAGTATGGTGGAACCAAACTCAAGTTTGACGACGAGGTAATGATGATGTAATGCTCAAATGGGTGTGGTCTGAATATACTCTGTACTTTGTGGATCCAGGACTATGTTCTGCTGAGGGATGGAGACATTCTTGGGACTTTCAACAGCTGAAGCACATCATCCGAATCACATTATTTGGCTGCTTATATCGTATATAGTTGAAGTTTTTTTGCCGTGCATGTCCCGGTTCTGCGCATGCGTGCACGGCATTTCGTTCGCGTTGCGAGATAGATTGTATGGTTATCTGCTCTGATTCGTGTTCGCATGTGCACTTTACAAGTTGCAAACCGTCAACAATAAAAATGAATTCTTTTTCTGCTGTATTCTGATTCGTAGTGGGCGCTATTGTGTCACGCACACAGGTTAGTCGATCAGATCGTTTTGCAGAGATGGTAGTTGCTGGAAGAAGGAGGTTCACTGCAGAGAGAACTGACGTGAGAAGAGAAAAGGAGAGCGCCTCGTACCTACTGAGCAAAGGTGAGCGTAGCAGCGCGATACTAAACCTCCGCCTAAGCTGCGCAGAACACACCGCAGCATAAATACGGGTGTACACGTACGTACGTACGTATACCTAAATACGCTGCGCGGAAATTCATGATGCGGCTGCAATCTGAGAAGGCAACGGAGCGGTGTTTTAGATGGTCTACTATTTCTAGCAGCTATACGACTCTGCTATCCAGCCCGCCCTCCTATACTAGAGCTAATAAGATTGCAGGATGGCGGACGAAGCGGGAATTTTCTCGTCGGCGGCATTTAGCACGGTTGCCAGCAACGGTGCTACTCCCACGGGGGCACCAGGCAACGGAGAGGAGGGACAAATGTCCTGGAAACTAGCGAGGAAGGCGCTCATCAAGGCCGGCTCCCCGGGCGCCGCTGCCAACGGTGACTCGGCAGCAAGTCATGGCGGGAGTCTCGAAGGAGCCGACCCCGAGCTGTGCATAACGCTCCTGGAACGGGGCCTCAACTTTAGCGGTCTGAAGGCTCGGCTCAAGGCCGCCGACCAAGCATGGATGGAACACTTTATCACGGTCGGAGGTATCCCGGCCCTCTTCGACGCTCTGGAGACGCTGGGAAGGAAGGGTTTCTCGGGTATAGTGGGCGCCATCCGCCAGCTCGAGTGCGTCGGGTGCGTGCGAGCTGTTATGAACAACCGCTTCGGGCTGGAGTTTATCGTCGAAGCCCGCGGAGAATCGTTCGTGAAACGACTCACTGACGGTAAGTCTGTCGATACATATAGACGATCTCCCGCGAGGGTTGCTGTGTGCAAAGGCTGAGGTGTGATATTTTAGTGCTGCAGACCTCTATCAAAACTATCACCACCCCGCCCCTCTTTGAGGGTGCCAGACACCACTTGGTGTTTACGAGCTGTTTTGACTGTGTTTTGCGCGGCGACCTTAGCTGAGAACCACAAAGGCCTCTCAAGTGGTCATGCTTGTCAATAACAAATGGCTTCACTCTTCTTCCCCTCTCCTTCTCTGCCCTTCTCCTGCAGTGCTGGACACCAACAATGCTCTGGTGAAGATACAAGTATTTGAGCTCCTGAGCGCGCTCTGCGTCTACTCTCCACACGGCCACCAGCTAGCCTTGGAGGCTCTCAAACACTACAAGGTTTGCTGTTCACACATGACAACTTTATATACACTTGCAAATAACCAGTGCTGCCAAGTGTTAACTTTTATGAATCTGTCCCACTCTCCTCTTCCCCCTCCCTCTCCAGAGAACCAAGTGTCAAAGATACAGGTTCAGTCTTCTGCTGCAAGAGATCAAAAATGCAGAGACGCACGAGTACGCAGCAGTCATCATGGCGTTCATCAACTGTATAATTACGGGGGCACCCGATCTCGGCCAGCGGCTGGCTTTGAGAAACGAATTCATCGGTAAAAACCGCACGTTTCACCCGTAATTTGCTTTATTCTATCTGCCCATGTGTTTAATATGTACGGACTGGTGTGTGTGGCCTTTGGAATGCCAGGTGTACTACAATAGATGATATTACACACTGCTGACAATAGCAACACCTGTTTAATTCCCAGAGCTATTGAATTTTCCTTGTAGTAATGTATTATGTGTATCTGGGACTGTAAGGTATTCGCGGAACTGTCGTCAGTGTGCCTCCGTGTTAGCAACGAATCTGTTTGAAACCTCAAATGACATACAGCCACGGACAATGTTTTCCGTAGGGAGTGGGAACCCCTCTCATCAGTGGACACAAATGGCACAGAACAAACTGTGTCCTTCATAGGTGTCCTTTTTTGCTTTTTAAATGCACAGCTGTAAATATAAAGTGGGATCTTCCCCTGCTTGGCTGATAGGGGTTTTGGAATTTACTATTGTTATCTTTAGACAATGGTAATGTTGCAGGGAGCTGCTTTGCTGAATGGCTTCTTCATGCATTTATCAGCCCTCAAAGATAACAACATTAATGTAATTTAAAGGGTCTAATTAGGGAGAGGCTGGAGTAAATGGTAATGATACGAAAATATCATTCTGAAGCCATTAAACCGTTGGTAGCTACATGGTGTGCTGTTTTCAATAATGCATTTCCGAGTGTTCATATGACATTGATACATTTCCTGTGCATATCAGTATTCTCCCTGTCTGTCTGTCTGTCTCTCTGAAGCAATGCAGCTGCTGGATGTGCTGGCTCCGATGAGGTCATCGGCCGAGGAAGCCCTAGCAACGCAGATCGAGGTGTTTGAAGACAGTCACCATGGCGACCAGGCCCAGCTGGAAATGCCAGGAGACGTGGACATCAGTAGTCACAGCGACTTATTCACTGCCGTTTTTGCCAGAGTGAGGGAGCGAAAAACAGAATAATTTATCACGAAAATGTCATGCAGTCAACTACGTAATGTTATTAAGAAGACATGTTTGCTAAAGTGTGTGCAGCTAGACGTGTGTCTCGCTTTTCCGCTGTCTCGGAGGCAAGACATTGTCACCTCTGAGTTTTTTCTGCAGCTAGTAGTAAACTTCTATTTCCATTCTTTCTCTCTCTCTATTCTCTCTCCCTCTATTCCCCTGGATGCTAGGTCTGCAGCACCCCGAACTCCCTCTCCTTCCTCAACATCCTCCAAAACCTCCTCCTCATCGACCCCACCACTGATCTGGGGACTGCACTCTGGACCACTGTAGCTGAGCTCTGTCGTAAGGTGAGTCAATAGACTATAAGAGAAGAAGAAAGCTAAGCAGTACCGCAATAGCAAATATTTTCATTCGCGACGGAAAACTTTAGCGAATCACGTAAGAAAACAACCTTCTGCAGAAAATGTGTCGCAAACGCAGGTGCTTGGCGTGTGCGCGGCGTGCTAAAACCAAAGTAAAAATACTCTCGCAATGTCATAAAAGCACTAAATTTTAATATAGTTTTGCTGGTGTCCACAATAAATTTGCGAATGTTTTGCTGGTGACCCCACTGCATGCAGGCAGTACAGGTGGAAGAGGCACAAGAAGCTGACAAACTCAAGACGTCATCCATCGAGAGAATTCGGTTGGTCCTCCGCGAACAGGAGAGCAAGCCTCCGCCATCGTCCGCAGCTGCCCCTCCCCTCCTCCTCCCCCCCCTCCTGAACTTCCCGGTTGGTGACTGTATATATCTGCTGTACAGCAGAATAAAACTTTGTACATGCACATTTTATACAACCACACAACACTGTTTGTCAATGGTGTGCGAAATCTCTAAAATCAAAGTTCTCTCGAAAGTTTTTTCATATGAGTTTCATGTGAGGTCATTTTGTATTGTAGGTGGAGCTCCGCCCCCTGCCCCGCCCCCTCCGCCCCCTGCTCCTGGTGCAGCTGGTATGTTGCAAAACCCTTTTCTCTCAACCATCACTACTCCATTTGAACTCCATTCTGGCTACATTAGTAATATCACTGTACTATTATATACCTACCAAACAGCGTTGGCTTCATCGGCTTACTAATTACATTCCCACACGTAGCTCGATTCAACTAGTATACATTTGGCTTATCTTCGATATGTAATTGATTGATGGCAATGACGTTTTGTTCTGCGTTCACACGTTATGTGTCTCCTCCTCAGCTCCTCCCCCTCCTCCTCCTCCACCCCCTGCTCCCGGCGGAATGCAAGCCCCTCCCCCTCCCCCGCCCCCTCCCGGTATCCCAGGTAACCAAACAATAATGTAGATTACATGCTGTAAGTCAGACACACATGTTGTAAGTCCATCATTTCCTCGTAACATCGTGCAAAAATTTGGCCCTGACATTTAGTGGAGAATGTTCGGAATTTTAACTCAATTCTGTCGAACTGAAAATCTTATTATCATGGCCAGAGGGCGTTGTAAGTTGTAACGACATAATTATCATTTAATTTGTACAGGTGCTCCTCCCCCTCCACCCCCACCTGGCGTACCTGGTAAGAACTATGAGCTTTAGCTTTTATTCATATTATTTTGCTCAATTTTTATCTTTGTTTATTCGTCCGTATAAAAGGTGCCCCTCCCCCTCCACCCCCTCCGCCCGGTGCCGGAGTTCCTCCGCCCCCTCCCCCCCGCCCCCTGGTTCCACCCAGCAACAGGCCCACGCCCACCTCGAGCGGAGACAGTCGGCATACGAAGTGGCACGAAAACACAAACCGCGTCGACAGATGAGGAAGGTGAATTGGGTCAAAGTTCCCCGGAGTGTTGCCACGAAACCGACGGCACTTTGGCACCCGTCGACGAAAGACGACGAGAAGGTGGAGCCAAGGGTGTCGGTTGACATGGAAACGGTTGAAGATCTGTTTTCGAGGGCTGAGGTGGTGAAAAAGGCGAAGGGAGGAGGAGAGGAAGAGGTTGCCGCGAGACCGAAAGTCATTTCTCTACTTGACCAGAAGGCGAGTCTAAACGTCAACATCTTTTTGAGACAGTTCAAGAGGTAAGAAAACTCTGCACCCGGTCCTAAATTTAGTGTATTGCCACCATTAATTTTAAGCAGACTTCATGTAATTTGCACTGGCGATGAAATATTGTTTAGACTAGAAACATAAACGTGACAACTTATGCCTCGCTGAAACTGTTCACTTCTCGTTTTTCTCTTAACCCCTTCTCTTGTTGTTTGTTTAACCCCTTCTCTTGTTGTCTGTTTAACCCCTTCTCTTGTTGTCTGTTTAACCCCTTCTCTTCTTGTTTGTTTAACCCCTTCTCTCCAGGGAGAACGGGGCGATCGTGGCTCTAGTACAGGAGGGTGACTCCACACAAATGGACATCGACCAGCTGAAGGCTTTGGAGAAACTTCTGCCTGATTCTGACACTGTGAGAGGAGAAAGGGGAGGGAGGAGAGGGGAAGGAGGGGAGATAGGCTTACGATAAATTTTGAAGGCATATTTTCCAAGGATTTTACACCTGTAGAAAGCACACTATTGTTACGGTCTTCCTTATAATCTGCCCAACAGGTAGAGATGTTGAAGGGATTCTCGGGAGACTCCAGTAAGCTGGGCCTGGCCGAAGATTTCTTCCACAAGTTGATCGCCGTGAAACAATACCCACTGCGGGTTACATTCATGACGCTGACGCTCGAATTCCGGGACAAGATGGCTGACCTGCGTCCTGCTATCGCTGTCCTACAGGACGCGATTCAGGAGGTGGTGTTGTGCGAAGCCCTACGTGAGGTGTTCTACATCACCCTTCTCACGGGGAACATCATTAACGGGGTAACAAAGGGGTTAATGGTAAAATTAAGTTTTTAACCCCTTTCTTCCTCTCTCACAGGGAGGTAGGGCAGGAGATGCCTATGGGTTCACAGTGTCATCTCTCAACAAGCTGAAGGACACCAGAGCTAATAAACCACGGATGTCGCTTATCCATTACATCACTCAGGTAACCATGGATCTGTATATCTGTCGGGTGGAAATTTTACAAATGCCCGACGACCAATTTTGCGAAAGTGCACGAAGCTGCCATTTCCACACTCGTGTACACCTGTCTGTTGGTGTAAAAATTTAGCTGCCTGCGAAAATTTTACTCCCTGCGTAAGATACGTACCATGCCCACCTTTTCTCTGTTGCAAGTGCTAGACGTCCACCCCCCCTCTCTTCCTTACCATCTCCTCTTCCTTCTCAGATTTGTGAGGAGCAAGATCCTCAGCTCCTGAAGCTGATGGACCATCTTCCTCACCTCGAGGGCGGCGCTAAGTACGTTTCCCACATTCCTACATGTCTCTAAATCAATTTAGTGATAGACACACCCACAATAATACGCATTCCACACCATGCGTAGGACACTGACACTCCATTTGCACACATCGAGTACATGGCCTTCTTATTGCACCATTCAACAAGGTGGCCCTGAGTTGCAAAACCAAACTCGTGAATTCGGAAGCCAAGAACACCACTGAAATGAGGATACCTTGAAAAAAAGCAGTTTCTTACATGCAATTTAACCCCCTGAGAGCAACAACACAAAAAAACAGCGGACACATCAAAAAATTACAGTATGTACTGCAACAAATTTTGACGTGAAGATTTTGCAGATTGGCAGTTACATGAAAAGCATTGGGTCTTATTAACCAATTATATTCCCTCTCTTGTTCCTTCCGTAGGCTATCCCAAGACTACCTGACCCAACAGATCAAAGAACTGGCGACAAAAATTAAAGACTTGGAGAAGAAATGCAAGAAGGCCCCAGACGACATGAAATCGAAAGTGACCGCCTTCGTCAAAGACGCACATCGAGGTCTCGACGAGTTGAGCGAAGGTTTGAAGAATATCGAGAAACAAGTGAAGGAGATCGCAGATTACTTCTGCGAAGACCCGAAGAAGTTAAAAATTGAGGAGTTGTTTTCTGAACTCCTGGCGTTTGTCAGGACTTACGAAGCAGCTGTCGAGGTAAGAAAAGAGAAGAGAGCGAAAAATAAGAGAGCGTATTTTGAATAAAATTAAGGGGCCCGGTTTTGGTGGGTATGTGTCTATAACATTGTGTTCCATATACACATGGGTATTGAGGGAAGGGGGGCAATAAAAGGAGAAGGATAAACAGAGACAGGCCTGTGGGACCCACAGACCATCCCTCACTACAGCTCAGCACTACACAACAGACAGTTCAAAGACTAGATTTGGCCACAGCACTGCCTCGTATGACACATTTCTACTACCAATGTTGGCCCTGTAGTAATAGTCAATACATGGCAGGCAGAGCCCACACTATATTGCTACAGTAGTACAAATTGACAGAGATTACAGCGACGTACAAGAGATGTCAAACACATTGGAACAAAAAACAGCTGAGACAACAACAGATTTTGCAGCAACAACAGACGCAAAACTACACATGATTGGCAGCTTTTAGATGGCAATTCCATATATCGTAGCTCCCTCCCTCATTTTACCTTTCTTTTCCTCTCCTCTTGTTTTCTTCTTCGACCGTTCCTCCTTTCCTCTCATCTCTCTCCCACTCTCCTCTCTCCTCTCTCTCCCGCTCTCCTCTCTCCTCTCTCTCCCGCTCTCCTCTCTCTCCTCTCTCTCCCGCTCTCCTCTCTCCTCTCTCATCTCTCTCCCGCTCTCCCCCCCTCACACACAAAGGAAAACCACCAGAGAGTGTTGTTGGAAGAGAAACGACGCAAGCGAGAAGAAGCCAGAAAGGTGGCCGCGGAGAAGAAAGCCGCAAAAGCTGCGGCTGCTGGCGAAGCCTTGCAACAGCAACCAGCCGAAGAGGAAGAAGGTTGCATCATTGACAACCTCATGAAGGAAATACGTTCGGGGACGACACTGAGACCGATGCAGAGAAAGCCAACCGTGAGAGCTCCGAAACTTTCGGCCAAGGAAATGGAGAAGCTGAAGAAGATAGCGGCAACGGTGGTGGATGACTCCGCCCACCAATCAGTGGAGAGAGCGCCAGGCGGAGGTGGGGAGGAGGGGACGAGGGGAAAAGAAGTTCAGGAGAATAAGTCGGCAAATGAGGGAGCGGCTGAGATACCTGCACAGAAACCACACCCACAGCCACACCCACTAGCCGAAGCCAGAACACCCATCGTTAATGGTGATGAACCGGCATTGGAGGTTGTTGCCAAAGAGACAACTGTTGCCAACTGTGACGGTGACGGACCTTCTGTTGCCAAGGAAACGCCTGTAGTCAATGACTACAAGCTGTCGCAGGAAGTTGCCAAGGATACCATTGTTGTCAATGGGAATGGACACTCATATGAAGTTGTCAAGGAAACCGCTGGGAGCAAAAATGCTCCACCCTCAGGGACCATTTCCACGGAAACACCGGTTGTCAACGGCAACGAACCATCATTGGAGGTTGGAGCGAATGCCACAAAGTCAGCCATTGCCGGGAAAGGTGTGGCCCAACCATCAGTGGAGGGAGAGGTGGGTGTGGGGGAGGAAGGGAGGAGGGGAGAGGAGCTGGAGAGATCACTCAGTCCTCTGGAGAGACGGCTGAGGGACTCCTGCAGTCCTGTCACCGGGCAGGTGGGCTTATAAACTATGGCTCCGTACACCAGAAATCTTGTGCAACATTTTAGTTGTGGTATATAGCTGGGTGGCCTAGTGTTTCATATTATAGTGAGTCTGCGGGAGGAACGACAGGCCAATGTTTCCACACTCCACCCTTTTTTATTATCGTTTTCGCCTCTCCTCTGTTTGTTAGGATGTGGTTCAACAGGTTCAAGACATGCTCAACTACTCCAGTGTGGAACATGGTATCACTGTCGTGTCGTCCCTAGCAACCCTCGTCATGCCTCCCCTCAGTGACTCCTTTGACCAGGTAATTTCAAATGACGTCATTCTTACATCATTCTAATTACATCATCGTTCTCCAGCTGGGCCAGGAGATGAACCAAACGGCTGCGTCTTTCAAGACAGACACACCGGAGCCGACGGCAGCAAGGGGAGGGGGCGTGGTTAAGGTGGAGTCAAAACCTCACACAAAGAAGGTTTCCGTGATGAAGTCAATGTCCAAGAAATGGAGGAAGAAATCCAAAAAGAAGCGCGAATCGTCGGACCTCTAATACATTATCAGACACTTAATTTTTTGGGATTTTGCATGCGGCCCATCCATTTTTCTTTTTCTTATTTTAGTCACAAAATGTGTTGTCTACGATTAATATTATTATTTTATTGGCTACTTGATTACATTATTGTCGGGAGCTAGCTGTTAGTTGCACAAATTGTTTTCAACTTGCATGCAATTATGGCATGAGCATTTACCATGACGATAATAATAATAATACAAGGTCTAAGCATAATCGCACAAACAAAAAAAACTCGTTAATACAGTTTAAAAACAATTGTGCACCTGAATAATAATAATAAGTAAATCAACACACAACGAAAGTTGTACCCGGAACAGAATCACTTTCACACAACATGACATACAAGAGATGATAAATAATGCTATACACTATTAATGAGTGCTGCTAATTATAGAACAACATGCAGGTTCGGTGCACAAGTCACATGACCATCAGGTGACTTACAACTAAGGAATTCACACAATGCCAAATTGGGCAAATAACTAGAGAAGATATGTGATTACTGGTAGCACATTAATAAGGCTAGCCACGCCCACTTCAACGAGGTGGTAATGGAGGGGCGTCTCTTGTGGGTGGAGGAGGGGGCGGAGCTTGTCTGCCTCGATTGTCTATGTATCCTCCCCCACCACCTTGAGCTGTCCCAGACCTTCGATCTAAACAAAGACAGACAGAGAGAGATGAAATTCATTGCACATGACAGGGACCTCTGAAAAGGAGACAGAGGGAGGGAGAGAGAGAGAGAGAGAGAGAGAGAGTGTGAGTAAGAGACGAACTTCTTGCTCCTCCTTTGCCCTGAGCACTCATGCTGGGATAGGTCTTGGGTCCAGCCTTCCACATCTCTGGTGGAGGGAGACGCGTTTGGAACGAAAACCTGTTCTCTAAATCATCTGTTGGCACACAGAACAGAGAGAGAGGAATGAATTCTATCAATTGTCTACAAATTTAATTTCCCTACCGTCAGAATGTCGCGGGGATCGATCAGGAATGGGAGGAGGCGGGGCAGCTGATCGGCCACCGACTCCGCCCGGGAGGTCCCGATGGGGCGGGGGAGGCGGTACTCCACCCGAGCCTCCGCCTCCTCTGGTGGGCGGAGGGGGAGGTGGAATACGAGGCATCGTCGCCGTGGGAACATTATGCCTGAATAACCAAAAAATCCCCAACAGGCAAAAGTTGTGCTTAAGACTTCAGAAAAAAAGCAGAAAAATTTGAGCATTGCTGTGAAAAATGGCAAATGTTTGGTGCAATAATAAAGATCTGTGTTTGTTTAAAAAACTTTTCCGAGAAATATTTTCCATGGGTGGCTCAAAAACCCTTATTACAGGTGTCAGTCAACGAGCATGCTGAAACCATAGTCGTGCTCTTACGGTGGGCTTCTTCTGTTGAGGTGTGAAGGGTGGCGGTCAGTGAAAGAGGGGGTAGGGGGAAGGGAACGTTGGGGTGGAGGGGGAGCTCCGCCCGCACGAGACGCAGTGGGTCTCCTGTCATTATTAGGTCGGCCCCCCGGGAAAGCAGGGGGTCCAGGTGGAGCTGGGAGGGGGCGTGACGACATGCCAGGTGGGGAATGTAGTTCAGTTGACTGAGGAGAGGAGAGGAGAGAGAGAGGAGAGCAAGAGATTATACGTCACTGTTTCGCGTTTCTGGCAATCGTAAGCAGTATAATTTTACACACTACATAAATATTATGTTCACAATGCAAGCATGCTCAACCAACAAGCATGCTCAACCAACAAGCATGCTCAACCAACAAGCACGCTCAACCAACAAGCACGCTCAACCAACAAGCATGCTCAACCAACAAGCATGCTCAACCAACAAGCATGCTCAACCAACAAGCACGAAACAAAAAAAATTGACAAAAGTTAGTGGTATTTGAAAAGACTCACATTAGACAAGCTCTCCCGCCCGGGCGGAGGTGGGAGTGGTCTTGACGAGGATGGGGGAGGGGGCGGGGCTTGAGTTCTAATGAGCACATATAACATTTTAAAACAACAAATCAATGCAAAAATTCTGACCTTCCAGGGGGCGGTGGTCTGTTTGACCCCCCAACATTGAATCTGGGGGGACTGGAAATTCCTCCATTCTGAGGGGGCCCCCCACGAGTAGGCGGAGGGGGTGGAGCCATTCTTGGCATTGTTGCTGTGGGAACACCGCTGGGTGGGTTTGGACTTGGTGACCGTGGCGATGATGGGTTTTCTTCGGAAACAAATTGCTTCCCGAACCGGACGAAGAGAAACCACGGTCGCGATTAGGGGGTGGGGGGCCACCACCAGGACCAATGGACCGAGTAGGGGGTGGGGGTGGGGACCACTGCTACCACTACTGATGCTTGACCCACCGAACCGGTTTGACGAAACACTGGAATTTGACATTTTTCGTCCGACAGAGGGAGGGGGTGGGGCAGGAGTGGTCCTTGTAGGGGAGGGGTGGGGGCCACTGCGGCCCGGTCCCAGAGCTGAACCTCTGACTGAACCGCCGCGTACTGGGGGGGGGGGTGGGGGACCATTTCTGGTGGGCGGAGGAGGCCCTGCCCGGGCTGGGGGAGGCGGATGATTTGTTGCCCGATTGAATCCGCCCGGCGTCGGGCGGGGGAACTGCGAGACATGATTGGGACCATTTGTTGTGGGCGGAGACGAAGGTCTGGGGTTACCAAATCTGTTCCCACTGCCGGAGAAGGTCGATTGCCACCTAATCCTCTACTGACACCTGGACAGGAAGAAATGAGAGAATATTGAGGGGTCCTCAGAAGAGAGTGTGAAACTAGCAAAGGTTTTCAATTTCGCGAACTGATATTATGTGGACGCTTCCGTCAGCGAGATGGTAGAGATGAAACTAGAGAGAGACACAGAGGTGGTTGTTTAGCAGTGTGTCCTAAGTGGCTATACATTGATGTCCTACATGTCGCGAACTATGAAACACCTGTTTCGGTCAAATGCTCCAGTAGCACTCATCTTGTAACGTTACATTCATACACCAGTACATTCTCATTAGAACCCTTCACATCGAACTGTCGGCTCACTGATGGCATATCTAAATAGATACAGTAGCAGACTCGTGGAAAATCCGTGGTCACTCACGATTAGCAGGAGAAGATGGATTGGGTTTGGTGTTGTATTTGGTGATGCTCATGCCTGGGCCCCTCCATAAGCCTCCACATCCTCAAACTTTATTAAGTTGCCGGGCATGACTCAGCAAAACAGAGACCACCCCCTCATCCTCCCGAAAGAAAAGTCAAAGGGTCAGAATAAGTTGAAGATACAATGCACGAGAATAAAGACGAATACTCAGAAAGGGGCGAAGTACTCCTTAATTAAGTAAACCTCCTCCTCCTCCCTCTACTCCTACCCTCCTCATGGAGGCCTCATGCTCCACCTCAACCTGGTCCTTCTTCTGAGTGAAGGGGAAACGGAGAAGACCGTAAAGAGGACGCGAGCGGCAACCCGACAGAAAACAG